CGGATTACTGTTAATTTATTATGCTGATCTGTTCTGTACGACATCTATTGCACGTCTGTCCGTCCTGGAAGAGGGATCCCTCCTCAGTTGCTCTTCCTGAGGTTTCTACCGTTTTTTTTTTTTCCCCGTTAAAGGGTTTTTTGGGGAGTTTTTCCTGATCAGCTGTGAGGGTCATAAGGACAGAGGGATGTCGTATGCTGTAAAGCCCTGTGAGGCAAATTGTGATTTGTGATATTGGGCTTTATAAATAAAATTGATTGATTGATTGATGCTCATCCTTACCATTGGACATTTTTAAGGCATCCAAATAGCCGTCTCATTCCTTGGTCTGATACCCTGACATCCTTGAGGTTCAGTGATACTTTCCGCTCCTCTGACTGAGTGACCACATAGGCCACAGCACAGCAAGGTAAGGGATCAAGACTCTCTCCACTGAGATCAAGATGATAGCCCAGTTTGTCCAGAAGGTGGATGCATGCTTCAGGACACTGGGACTCATACAAGCACTGGCATAAGAACAGTATGTCCACATCAGGCCCACTGTCCTCAGTATCAGCCTCACACAGACATGTGAAAAATGTGGTTATCATTTCCTTGAAGAACCAGTCAGATGTATTCTTGAGCTCCTTGGCTGGAATCAGACACTTTGTCAAACTAGGGCTCTTCTCAGTCAGCAAACAACACATGAAAGGGATCAGGTGCTTCATGTGTTTCCTCTCGTCAATGAGGCATTGCTGAAAAACATCCTTGATTTTATCTGGGTTCTTCAGGAGCCACAGTGCTGCAAAAAACTCCTGCATTGTGTAATGCAGAAATGCATGAGTGGTTTTTGTCTTCGTTGGGCCGACTTTGGTAAAAAGTGGTTTCAGAAAGGAAAGGACGCAGCTGTCCTCACTGGGAAGTTCGGTCAAGTTCACAGTTTTTCCTTCAGTTGCATTGAAAGCAGCCTCAGCCAAAGACAGTATTTCCTTACTCTTGTTTTTGATGAAGGGATTTAGATGTTTAGTTTTGGGGTTGTTGCTGTTTCGTTGAAGGCAGAAGCGAACGATATTGATGTAGATTTCTGTGATAGTGCATGGCTGTGGTGAGTCTTCTGGTGTCTCAAATGAGAAGCAGGCAGCCACCATCAGTGCATATATCGGGACATGACAAAGCGTTAACAACTCCACGTTGCTGAAAACCTTCTTCTGTTCTTTCCCAAGCATTTCAGCTAAGTATGCTTTAATGGTCTGCTCACTAAAGCCTTTCACTTCCACTCTGAGAAAGTCCTCAGAAGAGAACTCTTCTTCATCATCCTGTCTGCAAGTTACAATGATCTTTGCATCAGGCAGTAGGTCCTTCTCTACAAGTCTCTTCACCACTGATGAAGACAGATCTGTCATTCCATCAAAAATGAGCGTAACATTGTCAGAGTTGTTCTTTATGTCCTGTAAGACCTCTTCTTTGCCTTCATCTGGTTCACTGAACATGTTGAAGAGAAGCTCCTCCAGGCTCACAGCCTTTGTGATGTGAGATGTTTCTCTCATGTCAAAGTAAAACATGTAATCAAGCTTTTCATTGTCTCTTTCTGCCCAGAGCTTCAACATTTCCTGGGTGAGTGCTGTCTTTCCAATTCCAGGTTTACCAACCACGAGTACGTCTCGATATGTTTTCAAAAGGTCACCAGGGGAAGTTCCTACTTTGTCCTCAGGGACATATGTCCTTAGCTTTTTAGGGCGAATCATCTTGCTTTTCTTGCTCTTGAGCTTCTTTATTTTCGATGGAGAGACACTTCCTTGTGTGTCTAATACAAGAGACATGTACGACAGATCAGGCTTGTTGTTTTCTTCAAACAGGTATTTGTTTGCCGTCCAAAACTCATTTGATGTTTTTCGTGCTTTTAACTTTAACTTCGCCTGATATCTGTGGCACGGCTTTGGGCCTAAAATATAAACAACAGAGAGTAAATAAATATATTATGAATTACCTGCTGTGCCCCAACACTAAATAACAGGTAAATACTTGCACACAGACATAAAGTGTATTATATAATATCAGCAAATCAAAGATAAATGATAAAGATGTGACACAGTCAGAGTTCTCCTTTAAAATACCTTGTAAGTAGTTTGTATCCATTTGTGTGTCTTCCCTGAAAGGAAAGCAGCTGATCCAGTGATGCAGGTCAACCTCTAAAGTTCGCTTCCTCGTCATGTCAACAATCCTAAGGAACTCGTAACAGGCGTCTTCCCCCTTACACTTGAGCCAGTCCAGTATTTTTCTGGTTTTATCGTAGTCATCTTTCTCTGCCTGTATTTTGCTGACTGCCTCGTCACTGAAAACTTCTTTCTGTCTCAAGTTCTCCAGAATCACTGAGAGATTCTTTAGTTTTCCCAAAAGGCGGGATCTGGCATTCTTGACGTAATCTAAAGCAGACTGTGTCGTACACGCCATGTGTCCTTACTTCTGTATGCTCTGCACGCAGACCCAACTTCAATAACCTGGAGAACAAAAAAATCAGGTTCAGTAAAATGCTCATTACAACAAATATTCTCCCTGTGATGTATCAACTGTTTCGTAAGACGTCTAAAGTTTCACAGAGTAAAATGTTTTTGTGTCTAAACATCATGCAGCTGATGATGTTTGATGCTGAACAGTTTAACATCATTGTGCTGTTTATTAGTTCCAAGATGGATACCTGTGTCCTTCTGAAGAGTGAGAGACCCAAAAAGAGTGTAGGAAATCCAAACAGTCCTTAGACCAGGGCCCTCATTTATAAAGCTTACTTACGCACAAAACGAGGCTTGAAAGTGGCGTACGCCACTTACCACGCAAAGGTTGTGATTTATAAAAATAAACTTGGCGGGAGAATGAGCGCACCTGTAAGCAAACTCTGAGTCATGCGTGCGCACATTTTGGAGAAACTGGGAAGTGACGACGCAGACGGCGAGGTGGAGAAGTGGAGTCAGATTTTTATTGATGTCTCACACAAATTTAATATCACGCTATATCCACCTTAGATCCACGTTATCACTGAAATTAAATCCAGCAGCCTTATTTTGCGCTTGGAGTGAGGGATAATTGTTTCATAAAAACGAAATTCTTTCTAAATACATATTTAATCCACACTGCCTCTAACGTCTCATTGTCCACTATGTGACCGCAGGAGGGGGAGAGGACGGCGCGACTGCATGGAATATATTTATTTATTTAGCTAAATATTTCCAGTGCATTTATCATGTCTCGAAATCCAGCCATTAAGCACAACCGTTACACTCATTTCATCAGCCCTACTTAGACATGTGCTGTTCATGCTGTTCGCCTATTACACTTTCATCTTTGAATTGTATTTCAAATTACACGTTGTATTTTGTGGGACAGGGATACCACTGGTTCATGCTGTAATTCAGGCCGGGAGTCTGATCAGACTAATTGCCATTAAATATAAAAAAAGAAGAAACACAAGCGTAATTGCGCAAGATGGCACTGGCACATACTCCTTTTTGCCTCCACCTTTAATAAATGTGATTCTTTATGTCGCACATCAATGTCAAACATCCTCAAATTTAAAAGCAACACATTAACTACATGTTGGTAAAGGAGTAGAAATATTTGGTCTACCTTTAGATCAGACCACTTTTTTTTTTTTCTCTGTCACTGTCCATGCAGTCCCACAGACACAGCTGACAGCATCAGCAGCGCTGATGTGTTGCCACTTATTTTGCTTTCTTTTATTAGGGATAACAAAATAAAATCTTTCTTCAGTCCTCCACCTCCCGTTAAAGGGTCTCTAGCTCAGTCTCGGAGAAATTCAGTTATTTGGTACGTTTCTCACACCTGTCGCCGTGACTCAGAATGAGAGAACACTCACATGCCAGCTTATTTATATGCAGATCGCATTCATGAGGTGATTTGCATGACCATTTATGGTTGAACTAGGGCGTGTAGAGGGCGGAATATGAGGCGGATCTGGGTGCGCACAACTCCAGGAGGTCTGTGATTTATAAAGACAACATTGCGTGCCACAGTTTTATAAATCAGATTATTTTTTGGCGCACGCCATTTTCAGGTTTTGGGCGCACGTCAACTTTCAGTATGAATCCTAAGCACTCTTTCATAAATGAGGCCCAGGTCCTTTGTTGTCTCATGTCTCATATTCCCAGATGTATTGCCACACTACATTTATGTTGTCTGCAGAACAGGGAAAAAAACATGGCTGAGCCCAGTTAGTTTAAAAATGCTTTGAGTTGTTTGAATTCTATCAGAGCTGTCAGTGGGAGGATTGTTATAAGGCCCAGACGCACCAAACCAACATCAAAGAACTAGTGCCGATGGAAGCTGACTGTTGCGTCCCCTTATGTTACCTGTGTCTCGGCCAGAAAGTTACACTTGCACACACCGCTAAGACAGCAGCCTGCTTGAGAGGAAATAACTCTCCACACCTGCAGGCAGCAGTCCCAAGCTCAGTCTGCTTCCAGAATAAGAGAAGATCAAGAGTGATTTTTACAGAGTACAGATCAGCGCTCCAGTCCCTTTCTCTGGTTCAGGGCGGGGCTAATTTGGACACAAAACAACACAACCTGATCAGTGTATCCCACAGATTGAGACTCCATGTGTGGTGGTAGTTGATACGTAAGGACTCTTTTATTGGCTACACCTCAGCTTTCAATACAATCATCCCTGACATACTGATCAACAACCTGTTTGACCTTCACCCCTTCATCTGTGCCTTGATAAAGGACTTCCTTACGAGCTGCTCACAAACCGTCAAAACTGGCCTCCACTGCTCTTCCACTGTCAAAACCAGCACTGGCTCTGCTCAGGGCTGTGTGCTGAGTCTGCTTCTCTATGCCATCTACACCTACACCTGTCTCATCCACTCCACCAACACATTCATTACGGACAACATCACTGTGGTGGGACTCATAACCAGAGGAGACGAGTCGGCAAAGACAAGGTCCAGAAGTTGTCTGAGTGGTGCTCCAGGAACAACCTGGCACTCAACACGAGCAAAACAAAGGAAATAGCCATTGACTTCAGAAGGCACAGAGCGGACCCTGCCTCACTCTACATCAAAGAACACACATCTCGGAGGACCTCTCCTGGTCAGCCAACACACCAGCAGTGGTAAAAAAGGTCCGGCAGCGACTGCACTTTCTAAGAGTCCTTGGTAAGAAAAGACTGAAGGAGAAGCTGCTGGTGGACTTTATGGCTCCACCATGGAGAGTGTGCTGGCGTACTGTGTCACTGTGTGGTATGCCGGCTGACCGGAGAGCTCTGCCCTCCCTGGAAGACCTCTCCAGCTCAGGGTGCCTCTGCAGAGCCAGTAAAATCATCAGGGACAACTGTCGCCCTCTGGGAGGAGCCTGAGGTGCATCAAAAGCCTCACAAACAAGCTCAAGACAAGTTTCTTTCCCTGAGCCATCAAGACCCTTAACTCCTACAACACACACACACACCACAGAGAATTAGCATCATCTGCTAACCTTTTAACTCCCAACATTTAAATACAATATACTATATTTTCAAGAGCAGTACATGTTTATTTTAAGTGAAAACCCATCCATTTGTAGTATTTATTTTAGTTTCATATTTATTGAATGAGTGCCTGTTGTCTGTCCTAATTTGTCAGTGACAATTTAGGATTTCTATTTCTATTTCAGTTGGTGGATACACTGCAAAAAGTGGGGTGACAGACTTCCACAGACAGTCCGACACAGACCAATGGCTGACAGTCAGGTTGATGTGTCAGGAACTATTCATTACGTTTTTTAATTAACAAAAACGTTTAAAAGGTCAGAAAAAACCTCCATTTATGCTGCCTTAACAAACACAGAGATATCACAACAAGCTGTAATGTTTTGCCACATCGCACACAGACACATGCAGACTGTCTATCACAGAGAGAAACTTACACAGAAGCCTCAAAGTCTCCACCGATGATGGACTCCATCAGCTGCCTTAGGTGCAGGATTTTCCTGGTGATAAAAAATAAAATAAAAAAACCTGTGATTGAGACTTTCAGTCACTACTCAAGGCTGAAACAGTACATTCATCTCCTGAGTTTGTTTATCAGGTTTAATAAAATCTGTTTATTTTCAGTGGATGGATGGTTGTACTTTGTCCGCTTCAGTTTGAAAATGTTGTCAGAGTACAAACTCAGTTATCAAAGCTTTGGATCAACTGTCACGGCTTTGCTGACGTATGTGGCTTTTTGTTAGGAGGATGAAAGGAGTCATTTTAGTGTCTTTTAAACCAGGTGCTTCTGTACGCTGCACTACTGATCTAAAATCTGGATGTTTCCTGCAGAATGAGCTCTTTCAGACAGTACGTTTACATGCACAGATTAATCGAGCTATGCTCAAAATTCGATTGTGGCGTCTAATCGGACTTCTGTCCTTGTCCCAGTTCATATGCAACTGAGAAAATCAAATTACTGACGGGAACGTGTCCTCCTCCTCAACACTAGGTGGCGATATGCATCGTTTCAGCGGGTTAATACAGCCCCCTTTCCGGTTGACCTATTACGTCACTTAATAATAAACAACTGGGGACGCTGGTGGCTTAGTGGCAGAGCAGGCGCCCCATGTACAAGGCTGTTGCTGCAGCGGCCCGGGTTCGACTCCAGCGTGTGGCCCTTTGCTGCATGTCACTACCCCTCTCTCTCCTCCTCCTTCACACTTAACTCTCCTATCTATAAAGGCAAAAATGCCCAAAAAAATATCCATAAAAAAATAAAAATAAAATAAATAAACAACTGGAGTCAGGCGGCAGACCGGCATTTTCGCAGCAAGATGGACAATCGTACAGCTTTGTTCATCTCGTACGTAATGTACGTGTTACTGATTGTGCAGATAAGGTGCACGCTATCCCTCGCGGTCACGGTGATTTTGAGAGGCAGACAAGAACGCTGTATGCTGTTGGAGGGTTAGCCGCAGCATGACCGGAGGGAAGCACAGCCAGTTAGCCTCCGCTAGCTGGGAAGCTAGGACTGAACTTGTCAGGGGAGGAGGGTGGCTGGTTGATTTTTATTTTATTTATTTATTTTATTTTGATCCCCCCTATGTTCATCACTTATTGATGCTGTTTATGAAGTATGAATAAGTCAATAAGTAATTTATTCCATTGAAATATCATTGATGTATTATAGAAAAGTGATTTATCTTTTTATAAATGACAAAAGGCACATCTGCCTCATTTTATCTGTGGTATCATGATACTACTCAGAACCATGATACTTTCACTGGTATCGTACCGTGGGTCCCAATTTTGGTACCGTGACAACACTATAACATCGTTCAGACACAGTCAGCTGTTAATAAAGCCTCCTGACATCGTCATCACAAACGGACGTCTGTTCACGTGATGTTTCAATATAGAACACGTCTCATAAGGTTCATGGGAGATGAACCAGTCCTGCGCAGATTCGATCACCGGCGATCGGAACACAATGCATGCTGGTTAGTTTTGTGTCCGACTTCATCCCGACTTGCTCTGACGTATTACAAAAGTGGACGGCGATAAAGCCGCGAGAGCGAAGCAGCCGCAGTGTTTAGAGCCAGGCGCTGCAGCTGCTCTCCACCGACTGCACCGCCTGGCTCTCACCTGATCTAACAGCTGATTGGTTCAGATGTCGACTCAACAAGATGACGTTTCAGATAAACTACTCATATGTGTTGAATTTTAGAGATTAAGATTGTATTTGTCTGATTTGAAGGTTTATTCTGTGTAACAGAAACATGTTGTGTGACTGATGGTGAAGTTTAGTCGTCACAGACTGAACACATTCATCATAAACTATACAGAGTCTACTGTATATTAACACTGGACGCTTTAATTACTGAAGTATTTAGCAGCACAGACTGGTGGTCAGTGGGATGTGAGGATTCTTAAACTAACATGTGTACAGATGTGAAGCCCTGACTGTATCTGACTGAGCCTTAATGAAAGCTGTTGTCTTGTATCAAATATGAAGCTTACAGTCAAACACAGTGTATTCAGTCTCTGTTGCCATGGCGACAGGTCAACCTGATATGATGCTGATTTACAGCAGAGTTCATGAACCATGAACATAAACTACAGATCACCTGTAAAGCATTTCAATAAATTAATCTATCATAATTAAAACAACTGGAGACTGAAAACAAACTGATATATGGGTCTGATCACTCTTTTAATGAATTGACATCATTCCAGACAGGATGTTAGTGTGTCTGTGACTTCCTGTACGGACTGAAGGCTGCTGGAAACTGTCCGACTTCACCGCAGCTTTCTGTCCTGTTCTGTTCCTGCTCTCGTCTACTCTCCAGGCGAGGCGCAGTTCATCTCCAGCGAACCTATTTCTTGTCCCGCGTGTCTCACGAGAGCGGAGTTAAAGGCGCGCGGTGAAGGAAACGTAAATTCGGCGCTGGAAAACCGAACTAAGAGCCAGTCACGAGGACAGCTACGTGTTGTCTTCCTGGTTGTTGTCAGTGGGACAGCCACAGTCAGTCTTTGAGTCCTCACAGTTCAGACACACATTTACCTGTCTCCAGGTGAGACACGTCATCAACACTTACCCATCACAGCCATCTCAGTCAGGTTCACCGGCCTCCTCTCTGTGTTTGGACCCATTCTCCATGCAACCAGGCGTTCCGGAGCGGCTCGAGCGCCTCGTGCTCACAGTTACTTTCACTTTTGCCGCGTAACCACATCCAGTCTGAAGAGGAAGTGTGAGAGCTGAAAGTTTCCTCTGACGTCCACAGGGTGGCACTGTTGGACCAGGACACACACACACTGACTGCAGGACGACACTCCATGAACTCTACTACATGTAACTAAGTATTTTACTCTGAGGTATCAGTACTTGTATTAAAGTGTTTTACTCTGAGGTATCAGTACTTGTATTAAAGTGTATTTACTCTGAGGTATCAGTACTTGTATTAAAGTGTATTTACTCTGAGGTATCAGTACTTGTATTAAAGTGTATTTACTCTGAGGTATCAGTACTTGTATTAAAGTGTATTTACTCTGAGGTATCAGTACTTGTATTAAAGTGTATTTACTCTGAGGTATCAGTACTTGTATTAAAGTGTATTTACTCTGAGGTATCAGTACTTGTATTAAAGTGTATTTACTCTGAGGTATCAGTACTTGTATTAAAGTGTATTTACTCTGAGGTATCAGTACTTGTATTAAAGTGTATTTACTCTGAGGTATCAGTACTTGTATTAAAGTGTATTTACTCTGAGGTATCAGTACTTGTATTAAAGTGTTTTTACTCTGAGGTATCAGTACTTGTATTAAAGTGTATTTACTCTGAGGTATCAGTACTTGTATTAAAGTGTTTTTACTCTGAGGTATCAGTACTTGTATTAAAGTGTATTTACTCTGAGGTATCAGTACTTGTATTAAAGTGTTTTTACTCTGAGGTATCAGTACTTGTATTAAAGTGTATTTACTCTGAGGTATCAGTACTTGTATTAAAGTGTTTTTACTCTGAGGTATCAGTACTTGTATTAAAGTGTATTTACTCTGAGGTATCAGTACTTGTATTAAAGTGTTTTTACTCTGAGGTATCAGTACTTGTATTAAAGTGTATTTACTCTGAGGTATCAGTACTTGTATTAAAGTGTTTTTACTCTGAGGTATCAGTACTTGTATTAAAGTGTATTTACTCTGAGGTATCAGTACTTGTATTAAAGTGTTTTTACTCTGAGGTATCAGTACTTGTATTAAAGTGTATTTACTCTGAGGTATCAGTACTTGTATTAAAGTGTTTTTACTCTGAGGTATCAGTACTTGTATTAAAGTGTATTTACTCTGAGGTATCAGTACTTGTATTAAAGTGTTTTTACTCTGAGGTATCAGTACTTGTATTAAAGTGTATTTACTCTGAGGTATCAGTACTTGTATTAAAGTGTTTTTACTCTGAGGTATCAGTACTTGTATTAAAGTGTATTTACTCTGAGGTATCAGTACTTGTATTAAAGTGTTTTTACTCTGAGGTATCAGTACTTGTATTAAAGTGTATTTACTCTGAGGTATCAGTACTTGTATTAAAGTGTTTTTACTCTGAGGTATCAGTACTTGTATTAAAGTGTATTTACTCTGAGGTATCAGTACTTGTATTAAAGTGTTTTTACTCTGAGGTATCAGTACTTGTATTAAAGTGTATTTACTCTGAGGTATCAGTACTTGTATTAAAGTGTTTTTACTCTGAGGTATCAGTACTTGTATTAAAGTGTATTTACTCTGAGGTATCAGTACTTGTATTAAAGTGTTTTTACTCTGAGGTATCAGTACTTGTATTAAAGTGTATTTACTCTGAGGTATCAGTACTTGTATTAAAGTGTTTTTACTCTGAGGTATCAGTACTTGTATTAAAGTGTATTTACTCTGAGGTATCAGTACTTGTATTAAAGTGTTTTTACTCTGAGGTATCAGTACTTGTATTAAAGTGTATTTACTCTGAGGTATCAGTACTTGTATTAAAGTGTTTTTACTCTGAGGTATCAGTACTTGTATTAAAGTGTATTTACTCTGAGGTATCAGTACTTGTATTAAAGTGTTTTTACTCTGAGGTATCAGTACTTGTATTAAAGTGTATTTACTCTGAGGTATCAGTACTTGTATTAAAGTGTTTTTACTCTGAGGTATCAGTACTTGTATTAAAGTGTATTTACTCTGAGGTATCAGTACTTGTATTAAAGTGTTTTTACTCTGAGGTATCAGTACTTGTATTAAAGTGTATTTACTCTGAGGTATCAGTACTTGTATTAAAGTGTTTTTACTCTGAGGTATCAGTACTTGTATTAAAGTGTATTTACTCTGAGGTATCAGTACTTGTATTAAAGTGTTTTTACTCTGAGGTATCAGTACTTGTATTAAAGTGTATTTACTCTGAGGTATCAGTACTTGTATTAAAGTGTTTTTACTCTGAGGTATCAGTACTTGTATTAAAGTGTATTTACTCTGAGGTATCAGTACTTGTATTAAAGTGTTTTTACTCTGAGGTATCAGTACTTGTATTAAAGTGTATTTACTCTGAGGTATCAGTACTTGTATTAAAGTGTTTTTACTCTGAGGTATCAGTACTTGTATTAAAGTGTATTTACTCTGAGGTATCAGTACTTGTATTAAAGTGTTTTTACTCTGAGGTATCAGTACTTGTATTAAAGTGTATTTACTCTGAGGTATCAGTACTTGTATTAAAGTGTTTTTACTCTGAGGTATCAGTACTTGTATTAAAGTGTATTTACTCTGAGGTATCAGTACTTGTATTAAAGTGTTTTTACTCTGAGGTATCAGTACTTGTATTAAAGTGTATTTACTCTGAGGTATCAGTACTTGTATTAAAGTGTTTTTACTCTGAGGTATCAGTACTTGTATTAAAGTGTATTTACTCTGAGGTATCAGTACTTGTATTAAAGTGTTTTTACTCTGAGGTATCAGTACTTGTATTAAAGTGTATTTACTCTGAGGTATCAGTACTTGTATTAAAGTGTTTTTACTCTGAGGTATCAGTACTTGTATTAAAGTGTTTTTACTCTGAGGTATCAGTACTTGTATTAAAGTGTTTTTACTCTGAGGTATCAGTACTTGTATTAAAGTGTTTTTACTCTGAGGTATCAGTACTTGTATTAAAGTGTTTTTACTCTGAGGTATCAGTACTTGTATTAAAGTGTTTTTACTCTGAGGTATCAGTACTTGTATTAAAGTGTTTTTACTCTGAGGTATCAGTACTTGTATTAAAGTGTTTTTACTCTGAGGTATCAGTACTTGTATTAAAGTGTTTTTACTCTGAGGTATCAGTACTTGTATTAAAGTGTTTTTACTCTGAGGTATCAGTACTTGTATTAAAGTGTTTTTACTCTGAGGTATCAGTACTTGTATTAAAGTGTTTTTACTCTGAGGTATCAGTACTTGTATTAAAGTGTTTTTACTCTGAGGTATCAGTACTTGTATTAAAGTGTTTTTACTCTGAGGTATCAGTACTTGTATTAAAGTGTTTTTACTCTGAGGTATCAGTACTTGTATTAAAGTGTTTTTACTCTGAGGTATCAGTACTTGTATTAAAGTGTTTTTACTCTGAGGTATCAGTACTTGTATTAAAGTGTTTTTACTCTGAGGTATCAGTACTTGTATTAAAGTGTTTTTACTCTGAGGTATCAGTACTTGTATTAAAGTGTTTTTACTCTGAGGTATCAGTACTTGTATTAAAGTGTTTTTACTCTGAGGTATCAGTACTTGTATTAAAGTGTATTTACTCTGAGGTATCAGTACTTGTATTAAAGTGTTTTTACTCTGAGGTATCAGTACTTGTATTAAAGTGTTTTTACTCTGAGGTATCAGTACTTGTATTAAAGTGTTTTTACTCTGAGGTATCAGTACTTGTATTAAAGTGTTTTTACTCTGAGGTATCAGTACTTGTATTAAAGTGTTTTTACTCTGAGGTATCAGTACTTGTATTAAAGTGTTTTTACTCTGAGGTATCAGTACTTGTATTAAAGTGTTTTTACTCTGAGGTATCAGTACTTGTATTAAAGTGTTTTTACTCTGAGGTATCAGTACTTGTATTAAAGTGTTTTACTCTGAGGTATCAGTACTTGTATTAAAGTGTTTTACTCTGAGGTATCAGTACTTGTATTAAAGTGTTTTTACTCTGAGGTATCAGTACTTGTATTAAAGTGTATTTACTCTGAGGTATCAGTACTTGTATTAAAGTGTTTTACTCTGAGGTATCAGTACTTGTATTAAAGTGTTTTACTCTGAGGTATCAGTACTTGTATTAAAGTGTTTTTACTCTGAGGTATCAGTATTGTAATGGAGTATTTTTACTCTGAGGTATTAGTAATAAACTAAAGAACACAGGCCTTGTCCTCATCAGTCTCGTTTCTTTTGCTAACTGTAGTTGACCGTCCACACCAGCAGGTGGCAGTCATGCGCCGTGACGTGGCTCTGACGCTGCCGGTTAAAAATAAGTAGAAGAAGAACAAAGTGTTGCTAACAATGGCAGCAGCTAACACGGAGCTCCGGATGGATCAGCTCCCCTCAGACCCGCTGCTGCACATCCTGTCCTTCCTGAGCTTCAGGGACCTGATCCAGTACGTACCTGATCCCGCGGCCCGGTCCGTCCGCCACACACCGGAACACCGGAGAGAGGCGGGGACAGTAAACAATGTTTGTTTGTCCGTAAACAGAGCGGGAGCAGGTCGTTAGCCTAGCCTAGCATCTGCACTAACGTTAGCTGATAATATGGTGCAGATTTACAGGAGACAGGAGAGGACAGAGAAACTGTCAGCTGACGGCACAAAGGGTTAATTAAACTGAGTGTTAATGAGTCGCTGTCATTAGTCATTAGTCACCATCAGCTGCTTTAATGACGTAAACGTCCGGTCTTCACTTAGCCGCCTGCTAACACATGCTAACTGTTGACGTTTGTTGAGACTGAACGACGCTGCGTTCTTAGCGCTGTGTTTACGTCATAAACAGGAAGTGTTTATTTACTGCAGTACAAGTACTGATACCTCAGAGTAAAACACTTTAATACAAGTACTGATACCTCAGAGTAAATACACTTTAATACAAGTACTGATACCTCAGAGTAAAACACTTTAATACAAGTACTGATACCTCAGAGTAAAAACACTTTAATACAAGTACTGATACCTCAGAGTAAATACACTTTAATACAAGTACTGATACCTCAGAGTAAAACACTTTAATACAAGTACTGATACTTCCTTGAGTTTATTATCCCATAAAACAGTCAAAGAAAACCTGGTGACATAATAACCGAAGTGTGTGTGTGTGTGTGTGTGTGTGTGTGTGTGTGTGTGTAGCTGTAGTTATGTCAGCAGGAGGCTGAACGACTTGTCCAAACACAACCCACTGTGGAAGTCCCTGTGCTCCAAACACTGGCTGCTGACAGAGTGAGTACTTCCTTCAACCCATCCGCGACTACCTGTCGGAGGAGGAGGAGTCAGGATGTTGTTAGCTTAGCTTAGCTTAGCTTAGCTTAGCTCTGTCGTCAGATCAGATTCACCTCTCTGAATGTGTGTGTGTGTTTGCAGTGCGGAGCGGCAGCAGAGCGGCGTGTCCTGGTACGGTCTGTTCAGACAGTACTACAGAGACCTGGGCCGCTACATGCAGTACTACCCTGTACTGAAGAGAGCCTGGGAGCAGCTGAAGGCCTTCCTGCAGCAGAGGTGTCCACGTATGATCACATCACTCAAAGGTCCCTAACCAGTGATGTCAAACAAGTGTTTCGCATATGTATACACACACACATATGTATCTTGGCCAGTGTCCAGCTGTCCTCGTGACTTCCTGTTCGACTGTGACCTTTATTTGTTTGAGCAGTGTATTTATATTCACACTTTTACTGTGTGAAGATGAGAATCTCCGTCACTGGTTATGTTAAAGATACAATGTTCTGTGGTGCGTTTGTTTTTTACTCCAGAGGGCGCCACAGAGGTGGAGCTAAACGACATCGAGGCCCAGATCGGCTGCAGACTCCCAGACGACTACCGCTGCTCGTACCGCATCCACAACGGACAGAAGCTGGTGATCCCAGGGTCGGTATCTGTCTGGTGGACCCTCCCTGACTCTGTCCGTCCGTCTGTCTGTCTATCCACCACCTGTCTGTGTGTCCCCAGGCTGATGGGCAGCATGTCCCTGTCTAACCACCACCTGTCTGTGTGTCCCCAGGCTGATGGGCAGCATGTCCCTGTCTAACCACCACCTGTCTGTGTGTCCCCAGGCTGATGGGCAGCATGTCCCTGTCTAACCACCACCTGTCTGTGTGTCCCCAGGCTGATGGGCAGCATGTCACTGTCTAACCACTACCGGTCGGAGGTGCTGCTGGACGTGGAGACGGCGGCCGGAGGCTTCCAGCAGAGGAAGGGGATGAGACGCTGCCTGCCGCTCACCTTCTGCTTCCACACTGGACTCAGCCAGTACATGGCTCTGGAGCCCGCCGAGGGACGCAGGATGTTCGAGAGCTTCTACCCCTGCCCCGTACGTAACCACTTCCTGTTAAGTGAAGCCAACCCTTTTATAGCCGCGGTCAGACGCACCATGTTTTCGGGTCCATCCATATGTTCGTACGTCCCATCCTTGTGAATGCAAAATCCCAAGAACACCATGAGTGAGTCATTTTTTATTTGGCACAAACGTTCACTTGGACTCAAAAATGAAGTGATTAGAATTTTGTTGTCAAAGGTCACTGTGACCTCACCTGTTTCATTCTTGTAAACACAGTAAGTCAAGAACAGCTTGAGGAAATTTTCCAAATTTGGCACAGACGTTCATTCTGCAATGAACTGATTCAGTTTTGATGGTTAGAGGTCAGAGTGACCACTTTGAGTTAGTGATCAAGTGATAAGAATTTGGTAGTCAAAGGTCAAGATCACTGTGACCTTGCATCCATCTCATCCTTGTGAGTGTGGTATCTAAAGAACACATTGAGGGGGCTTTTCCAAAGTTTAGTGCAAACGTTCACTTCTTCATTCAGCAGTGACCTGATTAGATTTTAGTGGTCAAAGGTGAAAGTCACTGTGACCTCACCTATCCCATTCTTGTGAATGCTGTATCTCAAAAAACACCGTAAGGGATGTTTTTCCCCCCCAAACGCCCACTTGCTGTGACCAGAGGCATTATGTTCTCAAGTTGCCCTTGGATTCCATTCTTTTAAACGCGATATGTCAAGAACACTTTGAGGATTTTTTTTTCCAAATTTGGCACAAATGTCTGATTAGACTCAATGATGAAATAATTAGATATTGCTCGTCAAAGGTCAAGGTCATTGTGACCTTGCATCCATCTCATCCTAGCTAAAGTGATATTTTCAAGAACACCTTGAGGGAGTTTTTCCACATTTGGCACAAACGTCTGCTTTGAGTTATTGATGAAGTGATTAGAATTTGGTAGTCAAAGGTCAAGGCCACTGTGACCTTGCATGCATCTCATCCTTGTGAGTGTGATATCTAAATAACACATTGACGGGGCTTTTCCAAATTTGGCACAAACGTTCACTTGGACTCAATAATGATCTGATTAGATTTTGGTGATCAAAAGTCAAGGTCTCTGTGACCTTGAATCCATCTTATTCTCATGAACACATTATCTCAAGATCGCCTTGAGGGAAGTTCTTCAAATTTGGCATAAACATCCACGTTTGGTCTAGGATGAACAGATTAGAATTTGGTGGTAAAGGGTCAAGATCACTGTGACCTCATCTGTGCATTCTTGTGAATGTGGTATCCGAAGAATGCCTGGAGGAAATTTCTTCAAATTAGGCACAAACATACACTTGGACTCAAGAATGAACTCGTTAAAAATTTGTGGTCAAAGGTTTAAGGTCAGTGTGACCTCACAAAATATGTTTTTGGCCATAACCCAAGATTTTGACTAAACGTCACACAAACGTCTAACAGGATAAAATGATGACCTGTTGACATTTTATATCCAAAAGGTCAAAGGTCAGAGCACAACAGTGGTTTAATCAGACCGTGTTTTTATGTCTTTATCTTTCAGGATCAGACGGCTCAGGATCCTTCGGCCATCGACATGTTCATCACAGGTCTGCTGGTTTATAAGTGTGCTTTACACTTGATTAGTGTTAAGAAACGTCCATTTAGAAAAGATAGAAGATGCTGCAGAACCTGCCTGAGAATCCTCATGTTTTTAAGTTTTCCTCAGTATCACAGTGATCCAGTGAGAGTTGCGTGGACATTGAAGGGTACACTGTGAGCAGGAGCTGCTGACGCATCATTCAGCTCACGTTTGACTTTAAAAAGTTTTAATGAACCACGTCTATTAACTTTACTCATCAGACACCTGCCAGCACTTTAGGAAGTTGTTTGCTGTGGCCATGTTAGAAATGATGGTAATGTGGATGGGATTCTGCACAGGGGACAAACTGTGTGTGTTGGTGTGTTTAGGTTCCTGTTTCTTAGAGTGGTTCACGGCGTATGTCCAGAACGTCGTCACCGGAGAATACCCAATCATCAGAGACCAGATCTTCAGGTAACACGTGCATACAGACCCGCTCTCAGGTGTTCCTCCTGCTAACCGTGGTCGTTAGTAAATGATCTGTAAAATGACTTCACCGATGCTAACCTGTGTCTGCAGGTATGTGCACGATAAGGGTTGCGTGGCGACCACCGGGGACATCACTGTCTCTGTTTCTACCTCCTTCCTGCCTGAGCTTTCCTCCGTCCACCCTCCACACTTCTTTTTCACCTACCGCATCAGGTACCTGTCTGTCTGTCTGTCTGTCTGTCTGTCTGTCTCCACACACAGTACATGTGTTTTAACGAGTGTGTGTTCTCAGGATAGAGATGTCGAGCAGCGCTTCGCCCGAAGCCGCCTGTCAGCTCGACAGTCGCTACTGGAAAATCACCACCTCAGACGGCAATGTGGAGGAAGTTCAGGGTCCCGGTGTGGTCGGTACGCTGCTCGTATCACATGACCACCCATACACCTCGACTGGGAGTGAATGATATGACCTCCTGAATTTGTGTCTGTGTGTTTGTGCCCACAGGAGAGTTTCCCGTCATGACACCAGGGAAGGTCCACGAGTACGCCAGCTGCACCACCTTCTCCACCCCGTCAGAGTACATGGAGGGTCACTACACTTTCCACAGACTGGGTAACATCTGTTAACTCTTGTACCTGTGTGTCTGTATGGAGCCCGCAGCTGCGTCACAGGAACAGTTGCTTCCTCTGTTCGTACGATGTTTTCGTGGCGGTGGCCGCGGCTCTGTTACTGTGACGCAGCTAAAAACAGAAGCCACGCAGTGTTCCGTTGTTGTTTTGATGTTTGTTTGTCTCACAGCCAACAAAGAGGAAGTTTTCCACGTGGCCATACCTCGCTTCCACATGGTCTGCCCGCCCTTCAGAGAGCCGGTGGTTCGAACGGTAAAAATTCTAACACGACAAATCAAGTTTTAAATTTATGATTAAAAAATAAAGTTGTTTACAGTTAAAAAAATTCAGTGTTGTTCTCAACATCTGTTTTCTCAAAACACTGCAACTTTTTTCTTGCAGCGACTTTTTTTTGATACAGCTGTTCTATAAAGACATTTTTCTCGAATCATTCTGATTATTTTCTCACAACTTTATGACTTTTGCTCAAAATATCACAACTTCAGATACATTAAGACGTTTTTCGTGAGTCTACGACTACTTTCTCATAAAATAATGAGTATTTTCATGAGACATTTAATTAATAGGAAAAAAAGAAAACTATTTCCATCAGTGACCCTGATGATGTCTTCGTATCTCTGCAGCAGAAGGCAGCGACCAGTTACACAACTCGCTTTGATGACGACGATGGCGACGGCGAGTACTGTGACGGAGACGGCGACGACTTCAGCGACCTGAGGGGAATCAACATGGCCGCCTTGGAGGGAGCGTGGTGTCCTCGACACATCTGACCTCGAGCACCCACGCACAGCGTTGTCGAGGCAACCAGACGAGACTGTCAGTTATTCAGGTCTGATGGATGACAATGAAAACCTGAATGGTTGACAGACAGCAGGGAATTCTGGGACCGGTAACCAGAGCCATACGTGGGACAGAGTCCAGCTGCCAATCAAACAAATGAAACGAAACAATGTGAATGAGGTGCAGTTTTCTTTGAGTTCTCGTGTTACAGTATCAAACAGTTGGATAAGCTCAGACAGGGAGGATGGGACAGTGGCGTCATCGTCCTCTCCTTTGCTTTGTGGGATTATTTGTGGCGCCCAGTTGAGTTTGGCGGTCGTTGCGACCTCCAGATTAGACATTGAAAACGGCAAGTTGTGTCAACTGTTTCTGCTCCAAGTAAAAAGCTAAATATTTTTAGGCAGAGATTTGCGGTGGTTCTCGAAGAGCCGTCAGAATGTTCTCCTTTAAATTATCTCTAAGCTCTTTTCCACTGCAGGAACCAAACCGTCTCAAATACGGGACGTCACTCAGCCCGAACTTTAGAAAACATAACGAGACGTTTTGTTAAAGGGACAGTTTCTAGCTGGCTGTAGCTTCCGATTAAGGATTTCGCTAAAATGAAATCGGGATTTGAATTTCTGTCAGATTAACTCTGAAACGCTGACGCACACCAGCTTCCTCGTGAAGTACAAATTATTTCTCTAAACACTAAACACTTTCTCAAAACATTACGACTTTTTTGTCTAAACATTATGACTGTTTCCTGATGATGTAATGGAAAAAGGGGAGTTTACGTAAGGATTTAATTTCTTTCAGATTGCTGAATCGTCACCGACCCGCAACTATGTCCATACTAAAAACTCTAAACGTCGTCCGGCTGCTAAAATCCAGAGAATAAAGACGTTGGAACACGTGTTGTGTTAGCGTCACGTTCGGAGCTCACAGCGGTGCTTATTGGACTCTTCGAGGCCACGTCCAGTCTGTCCTCCATCGTTATTAAAGGTTGTGCTGCCTGAAACTTTAAACACTTTAAGATCCTTTTTTCCACTTCCTGATTTGTGACATCACATCTGCTCAACCAATCATGATCCGCGGCCCAAACGTCAGTTAAGTGAGAAACAGATGTTCTGGCAGTGGAAACAAGTCTGATGGTGGTGGTTTTCCTCCTGCAGAGCTTTCATTTCTCCACCCGGCAGGCGCAGTGTGATTATCTAGAAGAAACTGGGCTTTTACTTTGAAAGGGGAGGCTGTTACAAGTGTTTCCTGGTCGTGTTTTGTGCTTCACGTTTTTTTTCTTTAAATCTTGAGTTTCATGACAGGATTCTTTTCTGTCCTCGGCTCAGTGCAGCACGGGGACGTGTCGTCACTTTCTGATGTGATTGGTGGGTTTGTTTTGTATGTTTTTGGGTTAAATAAATAACAAATATTGATCGCTGCTGACTCACTGTTTACTGTCACATGACCACGCTGGTGATGTCATCAGGGATAACACATCAGTGATGAATACCTTGAAAAAAAATCCACTTTATATACATCTGTGTCTGCGACAGCCATGGACGAGGTGTTACGTTATCGGGTTGTCCGTCCGTCCCATGATTGTTAAAACAATATCTTGAGAATGGAGAAAGGAATTCAGCTTTAGCACAAACATCCACTGGGACTCAACAATGAACTGATTAGTGTTTGATGGTCAAAGGTCACTGTGACCTTGTCTGTCTCATTCTTGTGAAATTGATATCTCAAGAAAACCTTGAGAGAATTTCTTTAAGTTTGGCACAAATGTCCATTGGGACTGTCTCAAACATCCACTTGGACTCGAGGATGACCTGATTTATGTTTGGTGGTCAAAGTCAAGGTCATTGGACCTTGTGTGTCTCATTCTTGTGGACAGGATATCTCAAGAATATCCTGAGGGAATTTTTTCAAATTTGGCACAAACGTCGACTCTGTCTGCAGTGAAGGGTGTGCCAATAAGAATTCAATGAAGTTGAAAGTCATTGTGACCTCACATCCATCTCATTCTCATTAAAGCAATATCTCAAGAAGGCCTTGTGGGAGTTTTTTAAATTTGGCACAAACGTCCACTTTGACTCAGCGATGAAACGTTTAGTGTTTGATGGTCAAAGGTCACTGTGACCTGTCTCATTTTGTGAACCTGACATCTCAAAAACATCTTGAGAGAATTTATTTAAAATTGGCACAAACGTCCACTGGGACTGACTAAACGGATTAGATTTTGTGGTAAAAGGTCAAGGTCACCATGACCTGGTCTGTCTCATTGTTGTGAATGCGTGTCTTATTCTTAAGAAAACCTTGGGGTATTTTTTTCAAATTTGACACAAATGTCCACTTTTAGTAAGGATGAGCTGATCAGAATTCAAAGAAGTCAAAGGTCACCGTGACCTCACATCCATCTCATTCTCATTCAAGCAATATCTCAAGAAGGCCTTGGGGGATTTCTTTAAATGTTAACACAGACGTCCACTTGGACTGAAGAATAAACTGATTAGAATTTTGTGGTCGAAGGTCAGTGTGACCTCACAAAACATGTTTTGGGCCATAACTGAAGAATTCATTCACTAATTCTGACCAAACTTGACACAAATGTCTAACAGGATAAAATAATGAAGGTCAAAAGGTCAAAGGTCAGCTTGACTGTGACATCATCATGTTTTAACGTCATATCTCAGGAACAGAAGGGGAGACATTTGGTCAGATACTGAATTGGTGACTCTAATCTTGAAACTGTGCTGATTGTATAGATCTTCTGTGTGTGAAGCATCCATGTTTTCACTGACCTTCAACGTAAAATGCAGATCTACAAAGTTTATGTTACGAAAATATTCACAAATGTTTTTCATTTACTTGAAAATTTATTAAATACATTCAGATATTTTGTCGATCTGTTTACACAAATATAACTGAGACAAATCTTTATATATATAAATAAACGTGTGAAAATCACCTGAGGAATTTTAGTCTAGCTCCCGACCAAACTTTAAATATGTTTTCTGTAGTTTTTAACTTATTCTTTGATCAAATACTCGATGTCCACCAACTAATTTGATCTAAAAATATTAAAAATGTCTTAAAAACAATCCAACGTGTGTTACAGTACAATCTAAACTCAGTTTAACATACGGAGGCAAATTTGTGTAAAAATTATTTGTGTGGACAGATCAACAGCTTGTGTGTAAATGTGTAATCTGTTAATATAAAACACCAAACAAGATTTGTTAACTCACAAAAATATTTTGCAGACATAAAACAGATCTGTAAATTCAAAAATAATTCGCGTAAAATGCTAATCCACAGGCGCAGAATTGAGATCCACAAATAAAAACTGAATTCACAAATATTTGTTCAAAACTTTAAAAGTTTTTGATAGAAGATAGATATTTTGTCGATCTGTTCGCACGAATAATACCGACACAAAGCTGCCTCCATACGTTTCTAATAACCAGACCAAATTATTTATTTAAAAAACCTTTATTCATGATTTAGTGAAAAAAATCACAGTTTGACTTCTGAGTAGCTTTTTAACTGTTGGCATCACATTACAGTAACATGTAAACAAAAAGAGATGTCGCCCTCCTCCTCCTCCTCCTCCTCCTCCTCCTCTCCACCCTTTTAGCCATCGTCCTCCTCTCCACAGTTGTCATCCTTATCCTCCTCATCCTCTCCTCCACCCTTTCAGTCGTCGTCCTCTTCGTCATCGTCGTCCTCTATCACCCTCTCTGTTCTCCTTCTTTTCCTCGCCCCTCTCCTCTCCCTCCTCTCCTCTTCCTCCTCCTCTTCGTTCTCCTCTTCCTCCCCTCCTCCTCCTCCTCCACCCTCCTCCTCCTCTTCCTCCTCCTCCTCCCGGGCGTTGCAGCGGCTGCAGTGCCTCCTGAACCCTCCCAGGAAGTGTGACCTGAAGCAGCAGAAGGGGCAGGCGTAGCGTCCGGGCCGGTGAGACGCCCTGACGTGCTGCTGCAGCCGGCTGGGCAGGAAGAAGGAGCGCTTGCAGTCTTTGCAGCTGTACGGACGCTCCACGTCGTGGCTGCGCACCACGTGACTGATGGCGAAACCTGAAACACAGGCGGAGATTCAATAAAACTTTATTCAGATGAGCAGCAGCTGAAGTGTCTGACGTCATGAGTCTGACGGTGTTTTCTAACCTGGATCCTGTTTTGCCATGCGTTTGTGTCTAAGTGACAAATGAGAACGCTGCAGTGTAACCGCTCTGTTCACAGCGTCAGCGTCCGCCCATTAACAGTGTTTGCTTTTGTCTCTGACAGGCTTCAGACTGTTTGAGTGTCAGACAGCTTGATGAAAGGAGATAGACGTTTGTGTCAAAGAGTAAGATCCTTTTGTTTTGCAAGAAATCACCATCACCAAACCCACCAGACTGTCGTAATTAGCAAGAATTCTTGAGTGTGGGCCAAAAACATTTTGTGAGGTCACAGTGACCTTTGACCAATGAGCACCAAAATCTAATCGTTTGTGCCAAATTTGAGCAAATTTCCACGAGACCGCTGAGATATCATATTGTCAAGACTGAGACCAACAAAGTTACAGTGATGTTGACCTATGACCACTAAAATCTAATTAGTCCATTGTTAGTCCAGCGTTCTTGAGATGGTGTGTTCTCAAGAATGAAATGGACAGGGTAACTTTGACCTTTAACCACCAAAACCTAACCAACTCATCACTGAGTACAAGTGGATGTTTGTGCCAAATTTGAAAAAAAATCCTTCTAGGCATTCTTGAGATATTGCGTTGGCTAGAATGAGACAAAGAAGGTCAAAGTGACACTGACCTTTGACCGCCACAATCTTATCAGATAATCGCTGAGTCAAATTTGAGTCAATGTCATTAACAGTCTGAGCCTGTCGGTGACACAAACACTGCGACACAGAAAACTGATTTCAGCCTTATTATAGCCTCTGACTTGTTTTATGTTGATGTGTGGGCGGAGCCTCCTGAGAGGTATCCGACATGTGATACCTGCAGTGTCAGAGGGAAAGAATCTGATTGGTTGATGAACACGTGGAAGCGGTACCTTTCAGTTTGGTCTTCCAGCCACAGATCAGACACACAAAGCGGTTGGAGATGAAGCGCACCACTTTGGCCGTGGCCTCCATCTCCTCCTTCAGCAGCTCCCCACTCAGCCCGGCCCCCGGCTCCTCCTCCTCCGCCCCGCTGCTCTGAGCCTGTTTGGGCGTAGCGGCGGAGGTGGCCCCTGCATCCCGTCTGACGGCCTGGGCGGCGTATGCTTTGGGGATGTCATGCTTCCTCACCACGTGGTTGACACCCATAGCTTTCAGCTTTGTCTTCCAGCCACAGATCAGGCAGTGGTAGCCGGCGCCGTCAAACATCAGGACACTCTCGTCTCCTTCAATGTCAGCTTTAACGGGCCTCACTTCCTCCTCCTCCTCCTCCTCCGCTTCACTCTTCACTTTATCCTTCCCTCCCTCCTTCTCCTCCTCCTCCTCCCCTTCCTCCCCCGCCTTCTCCTCATCTCCGCCCCCCTCCCTCTCGTCCACGCAGTGTTTGGAGATGATGTGTTTGTACAGCTTGGTGAAGTCGCGGCTGGTATAGAAGCAGTCGGAGCAGTGGAACAGCCGAGCCGTGCTCTGGTACATCACGATGTTGCCGAGGCGACCCACCACCACGGAGTCCAGGCAGGCGGGGTGAGAGGCCGCCATGTGGGTCAGCTGATGGGCGTGGCTCTTGGAGAAATGGCCGCAGAGGGGGCACTGGAGGTGGGCCGCGACGCCACCGCCTGCTTCGCCACGTGTTTGGATGATGACAGACATCGCTGGTGTCTCAGAGCCTGGACAGGGACAAATAAAGTTAGACATTCGAAAACTGACAAAGGTCAAAATTAAAGGACAACTTTGGTGTTTTTCAGCCTGGACCCTGCTTCACCGTGGAAACGGATCCAAGAGACAGACGTGAACCACGGGTTAACAAAGTGTGTCTTTATCTTTCATGTAGAAATATAACGCTGCGTTTCTTCCACCAACAGGGCTCTCATTTTAGTGTAGAGCGTCAGACTGAATTTACCAACGCACCATGTCAGGTCACTCACTCTCCGGGACCGCCAGTGTTACTAGAATAAATAAACACTGACCAACGGGACCAGACTGGCCGACCCGTATGCTCTCACTCAGTGGATGGATGATGTCACAGGAAGCCAATCTTACAAAGGAGGACCACACTTGTTTGTTTTGCTATGGAAGCTAACGTTAGCTAATGTGCTAATATTTAACGTCGCGTGAAAATCCAATATTTGTTTTGCTATGGAAGCTACCATGTGCTAATGTGCTATAAAGTCCGTTACAGAGAAATCTAATATTTGTTTTGCTATTGAAGCTAACATTAGGTAATGCGCTTTAAAGCTAACATTATGAGGAAATCTAATATTTGTTTGCCAACAAAGCTAATGTTAGCTAATGTGCGAAGAAGTTAACGGTTAAGAAAAATACAATATTTGTTTTGCTATTAAAGCTAATGTTAGCAAAGGTGCTAAAAAGTAAGCTTTACAGAGAAATCCTATAATTGTTATGCTATTGAAGCTGACGTTGGCTAATCTGCTAAAATCTAACTGCGGTGAAGTCCAATATTTGTTTTGCTATCGAAGCTAATCTTAACTAATGTGCTGAAAAGTTAGCATTACAGAAAAATCTGTATTGTAACTAATTAGTTAGGTCCAGGTGGACGTTTGTGCCAAATTTGAGTTAAGTCTCAAGGCCTTCTTGAGATATCCTGTTCACAGGAATGACACAGATGAGGTCACAGTGACCTTGATCTACGAGCTATATCAAATTACCTCCGTACATGAATTTGAAGCTCTAACAGAGAGTCAATATATCTGATTAGCAGGGTCCAAGTGGATGTTTGTGCCAAACTTAAGGAAACTCCCAAAACCTTGTTGACATATTCTGTTTAGAGGAATGAAACAGATGAGGTAACCGTGACCTTGACTCTTGACCTATACCAAATTACAGATCTTTGTGACAAAGAATATAAAGCTGAAAAGACAATGTAACTGAATAGGTGGGTCCAAGTGGATGTTTGTGCCAAATTTGAGGAAACCCACTTAAAGCCTTCTTGAGATACTGTGTTCACAAGAATGAGACAAAGAGGTTACAGTGACCTTGACCTTTGTCCATTAAACTCTTATCACTTAATCACTTAAGTTCAAGTGGGCGTTTGTGCCAAACTTTAGGAAACTCCCAGGGCCTTGTTGAGATATCCCGTTCACAGGGATGAAACAGTGAAGTCACAGTGACAGTTTGAGAAATTTTCTGATCTCAGTACCGTAAATCTTCAAGTTCCTGAAAAGGCTTTTATTGTGAAAGGTTCAGTTTCATTGATGGAATGATGAATGAATGAATGAATGAATGAATGTTTAAGCACCACCAGTGTCGGTTTGAACCCTGTGAGTTCAGATTTATTCACGTAGGACACAGACATACAGTAAAGACATCACAGATCTACATGCTGTCATTTTAGTTATTAAAGTTTCAGCAGTGAGTAGAACCCTCACCCTTCTCTTCGCTCTCCTCATCATCCTCATCATCAAGACAAAGTTCATTGTTAACATCCTTCGGCGCCACTCGGTGCTTCTCGCTCTGACTGAGCTCCTCCCGCCCGGCCGCACGGGGCCGTCCCTCCCTGACGCAGACAATGAGGCGGTCTTCACTCCCGTCGCTTTTCGCAGACGGTGCACACACGTTAAAAGAGTTCTTTATCGTGTCTGTGTCCAGTTTGTCCCACGCTGTGACCACCCAGTCCACCAGCAGGCGGCGGGTGGGAGGTTTCAAGCTCCCCCCGGGTGTGTACTCCTTATCTGCGTCCCCCGCTGCCCACTGCTTGTAGGCGTCGTATACGTTCTGCCTGAAGGGCTGCTTCCACGTCAGATCGGGGGGCTGGACGTATTTTGCGCAGCCTCCTGGAATTGCAGCCATCGTGATGTCGTAGCCACATTCCAGCTCAGCTTTGGTGGTGGGGCCCATGTGGCAGTGGTAAGAGTCCCACACCAGGAGCCGTGGGGTGCCGTTGGATTTCCCCACCACAGACTGCAGCCAGCGTGCGGCGAGAGCGTCGCTCATCCCCCAATTCACAGACATGTCAATGACAGCGCCAGAGATCTCCTGCTGCGCCGCCCCCACGTCACCATCAGCCCCTCTGAAGACAATGAAAGGCTTCAGTTTGGCGCCATCCGCTTTGGCGGCGAGGACGACGGTGAGGCTGCTGCTCTTGTGTCCCTCTGCCCCTTGTGTGTCAGATGTGGGAGGCGCCATGTCACCAAAACAAACGGCAGTCTCGTCCATCACGATGATGTCCCGCTCTAGAATCCTCCTGGAGCTCACCGTCTTCCTGATGTAGTCGATAAACCAAACGAGTCTGTCGGTGAGAAGTTTCGGGTCTTCCTGGGGCACAGTGGTGCGACGCCGATGTGATAGGTTGTTGCGCTCTAGAAATTTTTGCAGCCAACCGGTGCTTGCCACAAACGTCTTTCCTCCATCGCTGACGGAAGGGTAGATCTCCAGCGCTTTCTTTTTGATCATGCTCCTCGACACTCTCTTTTGTTTGTCCCGCATCGAGCTGATCCATTCGGAGAGCCGCTCCTCGAGCTCCACGCTCACCTTCTTCCTGCCGCCGCCAGCTAACCGTGCTCTCCCATGGTCCCCCAGGAGCAGCGCCTCCTTCTGCTTCCTCCAGTCTCGGACTCTTTTGGAGTCGATGTTAAAGAGCCTTGCAGTTTTCTCTACTGAGTTTTCCTCCGCGAATTTCAAAACCGTCTCTTTGAAGTTGAAATCAAATTTCCGTCTGGTTGCCATGCTTCAAAAAAGATGGCAGGGACTGAAATGGGACAATAACACTTCACGTGAGTCATCGAGAACATCAAGAACATCATCATACTGAGGTCAGAGTGACGGCGTGAACGGTAACGACAGGCGCCCTGATTTGTTTTGGCTTCGGCCTTAATTTGAGAGAATATGGTAGCTCTAAAACCCTGGTCTAGCCTCGGAACATGTGATGGGCATTACCAAAAACTCTGTGATACTTCCAGTGGTGGAAAAAGTAATCAGATACTTTACTGAAGTACGGAGGCAGATTTGTGTCTAAATTATTTGTACTAACGCATCAATAATCTGTGTGTTAATGTGTAATCTGTAAATATAAAACAACACCACACATATGAAAGATGTGTAGTAAATTTACAGATTAATGAAAAACACTTGTGACTATCTTCCTAACATTTAAAACTTCTTAACAGATATTTGTAACTATCTTCCTAACATTTACAACTTTCAGATGTTTGTGACTATCTTCCTATCGTTTACAACCTTTTAACAGATATTTGTAACTATCTTCCTAACATTTACAACTTTCGGATGTTTGTGACTATCTTCCTAAAGTTTACAACTTTCAGATGTTTGTGACTATCTTCCTACAATTTACAACTTTTTAAACAGATATTTTTGACTATCTTCCTAACGTTTACAATTTTCAGATATTTTTGACTACTTCCTAACATTTACAACCTTTTAACCGAAAGTTGTGACTATCTTCCGAACATTTACAACTTTCAGATGTTTGTAACTATCTTTCTAACGTTTACAATTTTGGAACAGATATTTGTGTCTATCTTCCTAACATTTACAACTTTTTAAACTTATATTTGTGACTTCCTAACATTTACAACTTTTTAAACCTATATTTGTGACTTCCTAACATTTTCAACTTTGGAACAGATATTTGTGTCTATCTTCCTAACATTTACAACTTTTTAAACTTATATTTGTGACTTCCTAACATTTACAACTTTTTAAACTTATATTTGTGACTTCCTAACATTTTCAACTTTGGAACAGATATTTGTGTCTATCTTCCTAACATTTACAACTTTCCAACAGATATTTGTGACCATCTTCCGAACATTTATAATTTTCAAACAGATATATATGTGACTATTGTCTTTAAGTTTGCAATTTTATAACAAATATTTGTTTATCCACTTTTTTTGTGAATATCAATTATACGCTTGTGAATTTGAAACACATTTATATGTTATTTGCAAATCTAATTTATATTTGACAAATAATTTAAAGATTTTTTTTGTATTTGAGGAAAGTGTTTTTATTGTTTTAGATTAAATTAGTTTAATTAATTTACAAATAAATGAAAAACATTCAATAAAATGTTTTTCCTTAACATTTACAACTTTAAAACACTTACTTTTTATCCAGTTTTTTATTTGTTAATTTCAGTTCTCCGCTTGTGGATTTGCACTTTTATTGATTTATTTATTTTTAATTTTTTGAATTTAAATATTGCTGATCTGCTTATTCATGCATTTTTATTGCAAAATGTTATTTTTTGTTTCTTTTTTCTAGTTTACAAATCTTTTTTGTATTTTGAAGTTGTTTTAATTTCACAGATGCTGCAATAAGAAGCTGACTGTTGATCTGTTAACACAAATAATATAGACATAAATCTGCCTCCATACAAAGTATCTCTACCACAGAAATACTGTGCTGCACGTTAAAGTCCTGCATTGAAACACTTTAAAGTATGAAATACATTGAAGTACAGTTAAAGTACTGCAGTAAATGTTTTATATTAATGTAGTGCAGTAAAGAATAGTATTTCTCTCTGAGATGTTGTGAGTTATAAAGTGGCTCAAAAATAAAACTATTGATTAGGTGCAGTGCCTGAGTGGATGTTCTTTCCACCACTGGATATTTTATAGATTAAATGATTAATTGAAACATAATCAATAATGAGGATGATCCTCAGCCCTGCACAGAAACCTTTCACCAGACCTCGTTTATTTTTTACGCTATTTTAACAAACTAAACGTGATAGTGGGAACAGTGGGACTGAAGCTGACCAGAAACTTGTGTGCCCAGTAAGGTGACTGTTACACGCATTATTCCGGGTTAGTCCCGGGATTGTGACGGCAGTGTAATAACGGTGAACGGCTGCAGCTTCACGTGTTGTAACAATGGGATAACGAGCCGCAGCTAACAGGCTAACTCCCCGGCTAACGCGCTGATAAAACCACATTTTAAACCATCTTCTCCACCCACCTGCCTCCGCTGCCGACTGGGTTTATCTGTCCTACACCTGCTCCACCCGAGCCCACCGGAAATTCACCCCGAGGAATAATTTTAGCTGCGTGAAATCCTCATGATTTCATCGGACCCACCGAGCAGCTTCTCCCCCTTGTTTACCTGCAGCTCTCGGCCGAGCTCCACTTATCGCGAGATTTGAATCCTGGTTTAATTTCGTTGCTGTTGTTTAATGTAGAAATAAACCAATAAAAACATAAATATCAGAAAAATAAACAAAACAAAACTGTAACAAATAAAGTTTAATACACAAACAGGTCAGTGACTTAAAGCTGCTGATGGTGTTATATAACATTTATGTAGATGAGATGATTCATCTGCTGCTGAGTAACTGGGTTAGAGAGTGTGTGTGTGTGTGTGTGTGTATGTGTGTGTGTGTGTGTGTGTATCCAGGGCGCACTAAGGTGATTAATTAAGCTATTTGTGGTCCAGAGAAACACACACACCTGCCAAGGAGGGCAGGGAGGACTACGTCTCCCATCACCCACTGCAGTATGACGTCATCCCTCAGCCAGGTGGGGGACCTCTCAGCTGTCACTGGCTGCTGCGGGAGATGCTCCGTTGTTTGGTTGCCTAGCAACAGTTGTTCTCCTCCCATTACCCCTATCCTAATCTTGACCACCTAGCTTTTAAAGTAGTGTCACAGTTAGCTAATTGCTAACTTAGCATTAGCATAAGTATTGAGATGTGGCCTTCCCGTTACCCTTTTCCTAACCTTAGCCGTACTCCATATAATGTAATGCTTAATAGCTAGCTAATTACTTACCTAGCATTAGCATATGTAACGAGATGTGGCCTTCCAATTACCTTTTCCTAACCTTAACCACCTCTCCTTAATTGCTAACTTAGCATTAGCATAAGTAGCAAGATGTAGCCTTCCCGTTAACGTGACCCTAACCTTAACCACCACTTATAATGTAACATTTTCTAGCTTTCATGAGCTAATTGCTAATTTAGCATTAGCATAAGGAACTAGATGTAGCCCTCTCATTATTATTATTCCCATCCTTATGCTAACCCTAACCACCTCTTGTTTAGTGTAATACTTCATAGCTGAAGTTAGCTAATTGCTAATTTAGCATTAGCATAAGGAACTAGATGTTGCCTTCTCATTATCATTATTCCCATCCTTATGCTAACCTTAGCCACCTCTCGTTTAGTGTAATACTTCATAGCTAAAGTTAGCTAAAGGTTAACTTAGCATTAGTATAAGGAACTAGATGTAGCCTTGCTGTTACCCTTATCTTAACCTTGACCACACCTCCTTTAACGTTATTGGCTATTATTCGCTAACTTAGCATTAGCATAAGGAACGAGATGTAGCGTTCCCAAACCAAACACAAAGTACTTGTACTCGAGTATTTGTACTTTTAGTTACTGTGTAACTGGACTCTGAACACCTCACTTCAGTCAGCTGGTGCTTTTACTGCAGCAGGGGATGATTGAAACAGGAAGTCTGGGGTCGAGAGAGGAGGGAGGGGGCTTTTATTGTGGTAGGACGGAGGAGGAGGAGGAGGAGGAATCTGTGTTTGAACTTGTGTTTTCAGTGTTTGTCGGCTCAGATTCACTTTCACACACACACACACACACACACACACACACAGCGGGCGAGGACGACATGCTCTGCTTTAAAGGTGAGGTAGAGGATGGATGATGAAGAATTCCATAAAGACATTTGCTGCAGATTCTCGAGTGTGTGTGTGCGTGTGCGTGCGTGCGTGCAGAGTCTTTTCCAGATTACAGCTGCTGCAGTCCTCTGTGCTGTCTTCCTGCTACTGTTACTATGGTTACTGCTTTGATACCATCCCATAGTACTGCATGTAGTACAGCTACTTCCTGTGGTCCTGCTGCAGCCAGCAAACTTGGATCTTTGTTTTGGGTCAGGAGACATTCAAAGCTTTAACACGTGTGTGTGTGTGTGTGTCTGTGTGTGTGTGTGTGTGTGTGTGTGTCGGTGGTAGCGCTGGCGTGTCGAGGCAGGCTCAAACCCTTTCAGCATCCAAAACACAGCTGTTTCTGTAACACACACACACAGTGAGGAGTGATGGAGGCGACTGTCTGTCTGTCCGTCATGGCATTGCGGTGTCTCTGACGTGTGTGTGTGTGTGTGTGTGTGTGTGCGTGCTGTAGATGACACGGTTAAAGACACTGGAGTCAGTCTGGAGGACAGAGGGATGAGAGCTCCTGTCCTCAACAGGACTGACACATAGAGACAGACAACCATTCACACTCACATTCACACCTACAGACAATTTAGAGTCACCAATTAACCTGCATGTCTTTGGACTGTGGGAGGAAGCTGGAGCACCTGGAGGAAACCCACTCTGACACAGGGAGAACATGTCAGAGTACCTGGAGGAAACCCACGCTGACACAGGGAGAACATGTCAGAGCACCTGGAGGAAACCCACTCTGACACAGGGAGAACATGTCAGAGCACCTGGAGGAAACCCACACTGACACAGGGAGAACATGTCAGAGCACCTGGAGGAAACCCACGCTGACACAGGGAGAACATGTCAGAGCACCTGGAGGAAACCCACGCTGACACAGGGAGAACATGTCAGAGCACCTGGAGGAAACCCACGCTGACACAGGGAGAACATGTCAGAGCACCTGGAGGAAACCCACGCTGACACAGGGAGAACATGTCAGAGCACCTGGAGGAAACCCACGCTGACACAGGGAGAACATGTCAGAGCACCTGGAGGAAACCCACGCTGACACAGGGAGAACATGTCAGAGCACCTGGAGGAAACCCACGCTGACACAGGGAGAACATGTCAGAGCACCTGGAGGAAACCCACGCTGACACAGGGAGAACATGTCAGAGCACCTGGAGGAAACCCACGCTGACACAGGGAGAACATGTCAGAGCACCTGGAGGAAACCCACGCTGACACAGGGAGAACATGTCAGAGCACCTGGAGGAAACCCACGCTGACACAGGGAGAACATGTCAGAGCACCTGGAGGAAACCCACGCTGACACAGGGAGAACATGTCAGAGCACCTGGAGGAAACCCACGCTGACACAGGGAGAACATGTCAGAGCACCTGGAGGAAACCCACGCTGACACAGGGAGAACATGTCAGAGCACCTGGAGGAAACCCACGCTGACACAGGGAGAACATGTCAGAGCACCTGGAGGAAACCCACGCTGACACAGGGAGAACATGTCAGAGCACCTGGAGGAAACCCACGCTGACACAGGGAGAACATGTCAGAGCACCTGGAGGAAACCCACGCTGACACAGGGAGAACATGTCAGAGCACCTGGAGGAAACCCACGCTGACACAGGGAGAACATGTCAGAGCACCTGGAGGAAACCCACACTGACACAGGTAGAACATGTCAGAGCACCTGGAGGAAACCCACGCTGACACAGGGAGAACATGTCAGAGCACCTGGAGGAAACCCACACTGACACAGGTAGAACATGTCAGAGCACCTGGAGGAAACCCACGCTGACACGGGGAGAACATGTCAGAGCACCTGGAGGAAACCCACGCTGACACAGGGAGAACATGTCAGAGCACCTGGAGGAAACCCACACTGACACAGGGAGAACATGTCAGAGCACCTTTTCCCTTTACAAATATTTGTAGGTCATTAATTTTTCATTTATGTTTTTTGTCTCAACAGCTTTTTATTTCAACAAGTATTTATTTATTAATTCTTAAGGGTTTTTATTTCTGTTTTTAAAAAAAATACTTTTGAGGTAATTATGTTTTTTTTTTTTTATTTGTAAAGTTTTTTTACGTCTTAAATTCATATATATTCGTGTAAAGGTGTTTATCTCCATCAGTTGTTTGTTTGATTCACAGGTGTGTTGGTCACTCTGTCATCAGTCGTCCATCTGTTCTCGTTTGTCTTGTTGAGTTGAGTTTATCTACTGTCCCCTTTAAGAACACCTGAAACCTGTCACAGGACGGATCTGGACTATTTTCTGAGGCGGATTAATCCACATTTAATGCTGTGGTCAATGTTTGTGGCAGCAGGACGGTGTGTGTGATGATGATGATGATGAAGGAGGAGGAGGAGGAGGAAGATGATGTATCACACACAGACTGAGGATCAAACGTCGACCTGCTGTTGTCTGATTGGTTGTGAACCTCCCGGCTGGACTGGGCACTGAGGTAAATACGTGTGTGTGTGTGTGTGTGTGTGTGTGTGTGTGTCGGCCATCTGCAGACCTGGATAATCCCTGAGAGCAGATTAGAGAGGAAACACAGACACACACCATCAACACCTCCGAGAAAACATCTCACTGACCGCAGACGAGCTGCTATGAGGAACCGCTCTGCCATTTGGGAAAGTTTGGGGGACATCGACGACGTCTCTGAGGCTTTTATTGTGAAGGAATAAGACTTTTAAAGTTTTGATTGGCCATTGGTGACGCAGGAGTTTTGAAGCTGGTGTGGAAACACTTTTACTTCCCTGAAACACATTCGGACTTTTTTTTAGCTTTTATTGTGAAAATCAGAGGCTGCACAAACATTTAAATGCTTTTTGTGATGGATGATACTTTTACTTTGAAAGAGCTCTGAGCGGAGGACTCTGTTTGTGGATTGTTGAGTGGTTTTATTTTGAAAATTGACATTTTTAAGGATTTATTTTGAAATCGTGTGCAGTCGTGAATTTGATTTTTATTATGGTGAGTTGAAACATCTGTTTTTAAGAACCCGGGGCTTGTACTTCGAAGGATTAATTAGAAAGAACAGAAAAAACAACAAGAAGAAGTTTTGACAATGGATTCAGAAATTTCCGGGGCTCTTATTGTGAAAAGATCGTCATCGTGTGATCCGTCCTGAGGGCGGAGGCTGACATCAAACAGCCAATCAGGATGATTTCCTATGTGGAGTGTCTGGGCAGGGAAGGGGCGGGGCCTGGCGTGGGGTCAAGCTGCTGGAATGGCGATCCCGACGAAGAGCGCGATGAGCTTCTCCCGCGCAAGATGGCTGCCCTGCAACCGAAAACAGAGGGCAGCCTGCGTCGGCGCCTTCTCAGTGCCAAACTCCACCAGCACCACGGCGCCATTTTGGGGCTGAACGCGGGTGGTGCAGGCAGACCCGGGACGCCCTCAGGTGACAAAAAGCCCCTCCCGCCTCACCTTCAGTATCCAGGCAGCAGCCCTTGGAACCACCACCAGCACCTCCCCCCACGATCCCACGTCCACCCTTCGAATGCTCATGGGAAGCTTTTCCTCGCCCCAGAGACTTATGGGAAACTCAGCCAACAAACCCCACCCCTTCAGCTACCACGCTCCACCTACCCAGTCCTCACCCAGCGGAGCCGGACAGGTTCATGCCCCCCCACACCGGAGCCCCGCCCCGGCTACACCCTGCCCATCCCCTCCCCTCTCGGCGCTCCACCGCACCTCAGGGAGCCAGAGGTGCCGCCACAGTACCACTACCGGCCGAGCAAGAGGCGCAGAACTGGGTTCTTCTGCTTCAGATCCCGCCGAGGGAGGAGCTCCGGGCTGGAGACGACACAAACCACACCCCTTCTGCATAGAGGTACTGCTTGAAATTCTGTGTACTAGAATTGACCCTCTTATGCCCCATGTCCACTGCACGCTTCAGCCAGACTCAACTTTGGCACCAGGTCCTTTCCTCTACCACATAAAGTATCCCTGTTTAGTGTAGGCTGAGTGACACTTGCTGAATCCATATATCTCCAACCAATCAGAGGAACATCTGCATTTTGTCAACTGACCAGTTCCAAATCCCGCTCCTGTTAGTTTATCATGAAAGGATAAATTCATGATGACATCGTGTTTATCCAAATAACTAACACCAAAATTTACTTTTGGCCGTCACATAGCCGTCATCAGATGATCGAAACAAATAGATGTCATCTTGATCTTTTCTGGCTAATGATAAGTCACATCATCTCAAAAATATGTCGGCAACCAACCAACCTGTCCTTTTCCAAATCTCTTAAACTGAACTCGCACATGCGTCTAAAGGCTTAAGTATACTTGCTGCACGAAACGTGTGCAGTTTTCGTGCATGTTTGGCTGCCACGCATATTTTGTGGTCGTTTGGCGTGTAGACCGCACACTTTGCTGCGAGGTAGCGTGACGTGTACGCAAGATGCAATATTGACATCAACACTAGAGGCGCTCAGGTGAAGTATACCTAGAGACTGTGAACATGAGGTCAGAGGTGGACTGGTGAAAAGGATATAATGGAATGAAAGATGTAGGAGCAAGGTAGACCCAGAAGATGGCGGTAATGCAACGTAACAGATGCCAACCGCTGTAAAACTCCAAAGAAGAAGAATTCCCTGTGCTTTTCCTCATCGATTGCTCGCATTGGTAAAACAAGGGAAACAAACTCCCTATGTGATTGGTTAAGGGGCTGCATATACCATCTCCGATGGCGGAGGAGACGACGCCTTTTCCTCTGCCGAGATCTTAACAGCAATAAAATTACGATCTCCTCTTCATCGAGAGTGTCCATGTTTGTGTTTATCCTGAAATACACTGTCACCGCCTTCCTCGCTTTTCGTGACCTCTGTGTCTGAGTGCTGCAGTCTGCCCCTAGTGGAGACCACCAGTATCAGGCACGTTTGGCCACGCAGCAAGTATACTTCACGCTTAAAATGCAACTCTAAAACTCGCACATGTGTACGTCTAAAACGCAGCTCTGGAACTCGCACGTGCTTACGTCTAAAACGCAGCTCTGGAACCCTTTTTAAATAAATAAATTGAAAATTGAAAATTGAACTTGCACATGCCTACATCTAAAATTGCGGCTCTGGAACTCGTGTGTGCGCATGTCCAAAACAATGACTCTGGAACTTGCACATGCATACGTCTGAAACTCTGGCTCTGGAACTTACGCGTGTGTACGTCTAATACGGTGACTCTGGAACTCAAGCATTTACCAACAGCACTGAAACGACGTCTGGCAAGATGGGTGTGATGACATGTTGTGCGTGTGACCCAGAGATTTTAAAAAAGCAGCAGTTAGCAGCTAACAGCGTCCAGAAACGCCTGCAAAGTGGGAAAACAGTGATGTCCAAGAGTTCCAAGAGTTCCATCTAAAAAAGAAGCCGTGATCTTTACTGGCTTCAGAAGAGAACCGACTTTTTGGGTTCTGAGGGAGTTTTATTTTTGGTATAACTCCTCAGAACGGTTCAAAATCTGGTGCAGGAACCGGATCAGAACCAGTTCTGTGCTGGTGGATAAAGGCAGTCTGTTTGGTCCCCAGTGGTTCCGGGTTTGGTGAATGTCTTCATGAACTCATCTGTGTGTATAATCTCCTGTGTGTGTGTGTGTGTGTGTGTGTGTGTGTGTGTGTGGGATTAGCTGCAGCTCCATACGCTAGGCTAATGGCTAATTCCTGTAATAGCAGGCTTTAAGGTGCAACAGCTGCTACCTGTTAGCGTCACCTGTTAGCATCACCCTGTGGCATCTGACCATCGATCAGGTGCTGATTGAACGGCAGAACTGAACATATTCAGTCTATATATAAACGCGGTGACATCATGACGGAGTGGCCTACTTCCTGTCTAATTAATTGAACTAATTAAAGCAGCAGAGAGGTGACGACACGCAGACAGACGGAGGGACGGACAGAGGGACGGACGGCTGTCAGGCATGAAGACAGAAGTAATTAGCTGCTCTACTGGCCCAGATATTCGGCACACTTACAGCCTGGAACTGTCCCAGTTTGTGACTGGTGATGAAGGTGATGATGAAGGTGATCCTCGTCTCCATCAACTATTACCCCTGCACATTAATATCAACATTATATACCTTCTCACAGACTCAAGCACCCTCCTCAAGGGCCTTGAAACCCCTGCAGTGATACCAGAATGTCCTCCATAACCAGTTGAGCCTCTGTAAAGAACTCTGATACTGCTCAAGGACCGCTGGTACCTTCTCAAGGACCTATCAAACGACCCCAGAGGGTCTTGGGAATCTCTTCTTTAAAAAAAAAAAAAAAAATTAGCCTCAAGGATATCTGGTACCTTATCAAGGACCTGGGAGACCGCCTCAAAAACTCAAGAATGCTCTTTAATTTGAGTTTCATTTGAGTGTCCTCAAGGACTTCTTGTACCTTTTCAAGCACCCCCATCAAGCACCGTGGACCTTGGTAAGGACCATTTAAGACCATGAACCTCCCCAAGGACCTTTGGTACTCCTCCAAGACTCTTGGATCTTCCATAAATATCCAATGAACTTTTGCAAGGGACATTGGAACCTGCTCAGTGACCTCTAGAACCTTGTCAAGGACCCTCAGGACCTCCTTCAGGACCATTTGAGCTTCCATACAAATCTCTGTTACTCGTCATAAACCCCTTGGACATTTTCAAGCCCCATTTGGGTGTCTTAAAGGATTTCTTGTTCAATGTTAAGGACCTATGGAACCATCTCAGAGACCTAAGGACATTCTTCAAGGACCCCCAAGCATCCATGGGCCTTCTCCAGGACCATTTAAAAATCCTCAAAGACCTCTGGGACCTACTCAAGGACCCTGAGAACCTCCTTCAGGACAATTTGAGCTTCCACAAGAATCTCTGTCATTTCTGACAGACTCCTTTAACATTTTCAAGGCCCATTTGGGTGTCCTCAAGGACTTCTTATATATTTTCAAGGACCTTTGGAACCACCTCAGAAACTCAAGACCACTCTTCAAGAACCCCTAGCAGCACCCCAAGCACCCTTGGACCAACATAAGGACCATTTAAACCTCCCCAAGGACCTTTGGTACAGCTCAAAGACCCTTGGACCCTTCTCCAGGACTCCTGGAACCCACTTTAGTATCCATGTGACTTTTGCAAAGAACATTTGAGACTCATGAAGGGCCTCTGGAACCTTGTCAAGGACCTCCTCTTTGTCCATTTGAGGTTCCATATATATCTCTGTTACTTGTTGTAGACCCCTTGGACATTCTCCAGGCCCATTTGGGTGTCCTCAAAGACTTTTTGTATGATGTTAAGAACCCATAGAACCATCTCAATGACTTAAGGATGTTCTTTAAGGACCCCCAAGCACCCATGGGCCTTGTCCAGGACCATTTAAACCTTCTCAAAGACCCCTGGGACCTCCTCAAGGACCCATAGAGCTACCTTTAAGGACTCCAGGGACCTCCGGGTGTGCTGTGTTGCCTTTGAGCTTGGTCCCAGTCCTACAAACAGCTGTTTGAGACAGCAATGAGAGACTGAAATGTCCTCACTTTGATAAGCTGTCCTCACAAATACAGTACCGGGAGAACAAAGAGAATAAAAGACGAGCGGCTTCACTTTCGAATTCTCTTTCTTCATCTACAAAGAATCGAGTGTGTGTGTGTTCATGGTAACCTTCATCACCTGGCGACACACATGAAGGACACACACGTGTGCTGGCTTCCTGCCAGCGTGTGTGTGTGTGTGTGTGTGAGGTAGAGAGAGAGCGGAGATTAGAGGGAGCGGAGTGGGAGGAGAGCGGCGTCGCAGCGAGTCGAGCTGCGTTTCTGCTGCTGCTGCCGTCTGTCTGCTGCAGCCTCAGGAGTGTGTGTGTGTCCGCTGTCAGTGTGTGTGTGTGTGTGTGTGGCGTCGTCGTTATGGTTCTGATCGGAGCGGCCATCAAATCCGTCCTCAAATATCTTAACAAGACCAGAGGTGAGTGTGTGTGTGTGTGTGTGTGTGTGTGTATTTGTTATCGTCGCGTCGGACAGGGCGATGTAGTTCTCTAAAGATGACCTCATAGAACGCAACTCTCTGATTGGCTGTCAGACATACGTTATAATCAATCCGCCTTTCTAAATCAGAGCTCAAGGTGTGTTAAACTGCAGGTAACCATAGCAACAGTAAAGACAACTGAGTCAAGGACCCCTGGAACGTTCTTGAGGACCTTATAATCCCCTCAGTGATCTCCAGAACCTCCTCAAGGACCCATTAAGCCTCCTTAAGCACCCATAGTGCCTTCTGACAGACCTCTGGTACCTATCAAGGACCCCTGGAACATTTTCAAGAACCTTATAACCCCCCCAGTGACCTCCAGAACCTCCTCAAGGACCCATTAAGCCTCATTAAGCACCCATAGTGCCTTCTGACAGACCTCTGGTACCTATCAAGGACCCCTGGAACCTTTTCAAGAATCTTTGGGACCTCCTCAAGGACTGTCTCAGTCATCTCAAGGACCTCTTGTAGTCTCAGCCTTGGGAACTATTCAAAGGACCCAGTGATCCCATCAAAACAACCAATAAACATCCTCAAGGACCTCTATTTTAGCCCCAAGAAAGACCTCTGCTGGTTCTAAAGGACCCATGGAACCACCTCAGTGACCTCCAGAACCTCCTCAAGCACCTGTAGTACGTTCTGACAGACCTCTGGTACCTATCAAGGACCCCTGGAACATTTTCAAGAAAATCTGGGATCTCCTTAAGGACCATCTGAGTCGTCTCAAGAACCTCTTGTAGTCTCAGCCTTGGGAACTATTCAAAGAACCCAATGACCTCCTCAAACAACTAATTAACATTCTCAAGGACCTGTTGTACACCATTAAGAACCCCTGGGATCTTCCCATGGACTATTTGAGCCTCCATACAGACCTCTGGTTCTTCTCAAGGACCCTTGGCAGCCCTGAAAGCCCTCATTAAGAATCATTCCAGTGTCCTTAAGAACCTCTGGTATCTTATAAAGGACCTGGGGAACCACCTCCAAGACTCAAGGATGCTCTGTAGGGACTCCTAAAACTCTGCCAAGCACCTCGGCAACTCAAGGACCACCTAAACCTCTCCAAGGACCTCTGAAATTTATCATGGATCCGTGGAACCACTTCAGTGTCATAAGTACGGTCTTACAGAAGGAGAAACCCTCAAGGACCATCAGAGCTTCCTCAGGGGCCTCTGGGACCTTTGGAGCCCCTCAGTGTTCCCAGGCACATCATCAAGGACCATCTGGGTCTTCTTCAAGGACCCCTGTTACTTCTCATGGAGCCCTTGGACCTTCTCAAGGACCATTTGGGTCTCCTCTAAGGATCTATTTTATTTTATATTTTATTTTGTATTTTTTGCCCTTTGACAAGCAAATGTGAACCGACTGTAATGCAACAATTTTTTTCACGTTCACGAGAATGAGATGGAAGCAGGGTCACAATGACCTTGACCACTGACCTTTGGTCATCAGTTCAAACTAGGGTGAAAGTTGGTGTTTGTACTAATATGTGAAAAAAAAAAATCCTTCAAGGCATTCTTGAGATAGCGTGTTCACGAGAATGAGACGGGCGCAAGGTCACAATGACTTTGACCTTTGACCACCAAAATCACCACATCACTGTTGAGTCCAAATGAACGTTTGTGGTCAGTTTAAGGGAACATCTTAAAGGTATTCAGACGTTCATGAGAATGAAATGGAAGCAAGGTCACAGTGAACTTGACCTTTGACCTTTTGCCATCAGTTCACCCTTGGTTTAAAGTTGATGTTTGTGCCAGAGTTTGTGTGTGAATGTGCTGAGACAAGACTAAACCCTGAGATGTGCTGCGCTCTGTCTCTGTCTGCAGCAGGGGATGGGGACAGTAAGTGGTCTGTTCACTACACTACCCAGAAGCCCCAGCAGGGTCTGCTCTTCGTCCCTGGAAAGAGACGGTCCGGCAGCGCTGATGACCTGCGAGGTCAGAGGTCGACAGGAAGCAACGTCTCAGGTGATCATCTGTGTTTCTTTATTACTGACAGTTAGATGAACACAAGGATCAATCCGCTGCTGAAAATAGTCCCAAACTATGACAGTACTTCCTCCGTCAAGTTACAGTTTATATCCACGTCTTTCCTGACTCGTGTCAGGGTTGACGTTTGTGCCAAATTTGGGGGGAAAAAAATCCTTTAAGGCCTTCTTAAGATGTTGAGTTCATGAGAATGAGACAGAAGCAAGGTCAAAGTGACTTTGGCCTCTGAGCCTTGACCATCAAAATGAAATTAGATTATCCTTGACTGAAGGTTAACGTGTGCCAAATTTGAAAAAAAAAAAAAAATCTCTCAAGGCCTTCTTGAGATATTGCATTCATGAGAGACAGAAGCAAGGTCACAGTTACAATTGACCACCACAATCTCATCAGTTCATTGTAGACTGATAAGTGTGCATTAGTGCCAAATGTGAGGAAAATTCTTAAAGGCCTCCTTGAGATATTGCATTCACAAGAATGAGACAGAAACAAGGTCACAGTGACCTTTGACCTTTGAACATCAAATCAGTTCATTGCCCAGTCCAAGTGAACAGTTGTGCCAAATTTGAGGAAATTTCTTTAATGTCTTATTGAGATATTATGTTCAGAAGAGTGAGAAGGACCCAAGGTCACAAAGACATGACCTTTGACCATCAAAATTTAAATGTCTCGTTGTTGACTAAAAGTTGATGTTTGTGCCAAATTTAAACAAATTTTCCCCAAGGCCATCTTGAAATATTAGGTTTATATGAGTGAGACGGAGGCTAAGTCACAGTGACCTTGACCATTGAGCTTTGGCCTTAGGTTCATCCTTGGATGAAAGTTGACATTTGTGCCAAATTTGAAAATAATTTTCCTCAAGGCCTTCTTGACATAGTAGGTTCATGAGAATGAACAGAAGCAAGGTCACAGTGACCTCTGACCTTTGACCACCAAAATCAAATTGGTTGTTGTTGAGTCCAAGTGTACGTTTATGTCAGATTTGAAGAAATCCCCTGAAGGCCTTTTTGAAAAATAACTAATTATTACAATGACTTTTACCTTTGACCTTTGGCCACAGGTTCATCCTTGACTGAAAGTTGATGTTTGTGCCAAATTTGGAAAAACAAAAAAACAAAAAAAAAACCTCAAGGCCTTCTTGAGATATTGCCTTACGAGAATGAAATGGAGGCAACCTCACAATGACTTTGACCTTTGACCTTAGCCATCTGTTCATCCTTGGCTGAAAGTTGACGTTTGTGCCAAATTTAAAAAATAAAATTCCCTCAAAGCCATGTTGAGATAGTAGAGAATGAGACAGACAGACCAGCAACCTGAAAACATGAAACTAGTTGTTTGTCTTTTCACAGTAGTGAGATCTTTATTGACACATCACATTCATCAGTTATGAGACCGAACCTGGACCTTTGACGTAACGAGGACAGGCCAAAATGTCCTCACAATGCAGACATGTCCCCACAATGATGGTTAAAAACTGAAACTGTACCTTACAGAGAGAGTAATACAAGAGCGCCTGCCTCAACCAGCTCTGAGTTCGGCCTTAAAGGCTTTTATTTTGGGGATTTTCTGGTTTTCTAATTGATAAGTTGGAGCAGATTGCAGAGAGCTGCAGCACACACACACACACACACACACACACACACACACACACTGCAGACTGCATCACACACAGCTGCAGTGCCTCAGACAAAGGACCTCGTTTCATGTCATCGGTTAGGCTGAACTTTTACTGCAGTGACGGATTGATTAAACTATTGATTGATTGATTGATTGATTGATGTAAGATGATGTAATCAAATGATGTAATCAGCATCATGATGTCATCCTGTTCAGCTGCAGTTCAATAATAATAATTTTCATTGAGGTGTTTTTTGTCTCAAATTGATCAACATGTTGATTATTGATCTCCTTATTGATTATTGGCTGATTGATCATCTTTGTCTCACCCTGCCTCTGTTCTCTAACACGTGTGTGTGTGTGTGTGTGTGTAGCATGTAACGGGCTGACTCAGCATGGTTACAGCCGAACAGTCGGCTCTCAGCTGCACCCGCCTGGCCCCACCCCCCGCCCATCCTCCTCTGGCCTCGACCAATCAGAGGGCAGCAAAGCGCGCAGAGGGTGGAAGGACAAAAGCAGGAGGATGGTTAGTGACACACACACACACACACACACACAACAATAATACGGATGCTGTGTTGACTCATGAATATTAATGAGGCGGAGACGACTGCAGCAGAGCAGCGACACACCAACACCAACGTACATGTGTGTAGACAGACAGACAGACAGACATCTAAGGAACCATAAAAGTACAGTTCATCAATTTACAAGAACACGTTCCTCTGTCATGTAGAACAGGAAGTGAAAGCAAAGTCCATCTGCCATAAAACCAGCACAGTCGCCAGAATAAATGTTCACTGTTCATTTCTGTGAACCGCGGATACGTAACAATTGTACGTTATAACTTAACGTGTGAACAGCAGTGTGAATAATATCTGGTTGGATTCACAAAAACTACTTTGTTATTGTCAGGAAAAGATCACATTTTAGCTATAAATACGTGGTCACGGTGGCTAAAACGCCACAGGAAACGCAGCAATGTCTTGGCACTATCTCTGCTAAAAACACCCACATTTGGTGTCTAAACAGTTGCTTGAAGACGCAGCAATGACTCGTTGGTGTTGAACAGTGGTCTGCATCCCGGCAGGCGTCTCTCCGAGGTGTCACATCCACCGTCCCCTCCACCTCCTGATGACAGTCAGCTCAGACACTACGTCACTTTATAAGTATTTATATGATACGTATGAAACGTAGAAATGTAACGTACCTGTGGTTTGCAGAACCGTACGATACTGACATTTCCTTCTGGTGACTGAAGTGATTAAACTGTATCTCACCAAAGTCGACCTGCTCTGTGAAGGTGTGCTGGCTCTCAAAATAAAACGCCACCACAGGTTCAGATAAGATTAATGGAATGAATTTTCAGATGAACATACACCTACTGACACATGCCAAAATGAAACTGTTGAAACCAGCCAGGTTTATGAAGCTGTTTCCTGCATCAGTGGAGAATGGCTTTGCTTTGCTGCCGTCTGCTGGTCAAACTGAAGTACTGACACAGTCATGACACCACTACTTGCCATCTGTGTGTCTCCTCTCTCACTCATTCACACTTCATTCATCCATGTCTTCTCTGTTTCTCGCCCCTGTTGTTTCAGAGGTCCAGGTTCCTCGACTGTCTCTCTCAGTCGTGCTTTTCAGTTTGTTTCAAGTTTTCAGTTTGGAGGAGAAAGGTAAAGAAACTAGACTGAAGTAGACTAGACTAGAGTGAAGTAGAGTAGAGTACCATCCCTGTCACACCCAATCAGACGTCACCAGACTCTGGTTAAACCTCATCTTAAAATACAGCTTAACTATCACGTCAGGTTTATTCCACACCACTCTGCTGCATCTAGATTGTTCTCGGCTAAACCAAACCGACTCCTCCTCCGTCTTAAACAAGACTCTGATGGGGTAAACTAGATTTGTCTCTGGTTACACTCGACCCCAACAGGTTTTACGAGATGCTAGTGGGCTGTAATTTGAGACCAATCTGTCCTGAGGTTTTAAATTTAAACTACAGGGCTAAACTAGAAGTAAGGCCCAGACACACCAGACCAACTTCAGAGAACTATCAGCAATGAAAGCTGATGGCTGCATCACCTCACAGCGTCTGCGTCTCGGCCAAAAAGTTGTACAGGAACACACCACAAAGACTACAGCCGACAGCAACCAGCACGTACGTAGTAACTGAAACTTAACTCCTTGGGTTGCACTCTGCTGGGGTTGAATCTGACGATAAACCAGGCCATACTGGGTTTAAACTCAACTCTGAACACGCTAAACAAATGTGTACTTTAACTGCGTTTTTGTTCTCAGTCCTCAGCATGCTCAGATGAAGAGGAGAGGTTCATCTTGAACAACACGCGACCTCTGACCCCCCTGGTCCTCAACCCCGTTCATCGCACCTCCTGTTGGGAAGTCTTTGCCCCCACTTACGAGCTGACAGCGGACACGGAGATAGAGCCAACCCCCCGGCTTCCGACTCCAGAGGAGAGGATGAGGCAGCAGGCGGAGGCAGTCCCAGCTGATATAGTTCCGATCAATATAACAGGTAGGACCAGACTGGACTGTGGACTGGACTGGACAAGACTATCAAAGAGTCTTAAATTCAAGATTCATCCCGGACTTGAGATTTGATGTGGATTTGACTTGATTTAGACACAAGCAAAGATTTGGACTTGGGTTGCCTTGGGGTTTCACTCTTTTTTTTATACAGTATATATATACTTTATTAATCCCCCTGAGGGGAAATTCAATTTTTTCACTCCACTGTCATTAACACACAGGTCCGAAATACACACACATGCACAAACAGGACCTATACATGCACTAAGTGGAGAGATGTCAGAGTGAAACTCTTGAAACTCAACTTGAAGTCACAGTTCAACTTGGAGATTCAACTTAGAATATTGACTTTAGTCTGGACTTGACTCAGACTTAGGACTTGGGATTCAACTTATTCTTGAAACTTCGAGACTCAACTCTTGCTTGAGATGCGACTCAGACTTGAGACTTGACTTGGACATGAGATTTAACTTATTTTTGAAATTTGGAGACTTAACTCACACTTGAGACCTGACTCAGACTTGACTTGAATCTAGCATTTGACTCCAACTTGGTGTGTTGCACAGACTTGACTTAAACATGAGACTTGACTTGGACTTGGCGTTTGACTCTGACTTTGATATAGGATTTTAATCCGACTTGAAATTTGACTTGAAGTTAAGACTGAACTTGGAATGGGACAGAGCTTTAACTCAGACTTTTGTCTCAAGCTTGACTTGAACTTGACCCTGATTTGGAGCTGAAGGCAGACTTGAAACTCAACACCAACTCAGTATGTGACTTGGACTTGGGACTCCCCTTGGATTTGGAACTTGTTAAACTGACAGAATCTCTTCTTATTTTGTTGTATTTTCATACATGTGCGTGCTTCAGGAGCAAGTTTTGATCGTCAGGCCAGCTTTCGAAAAGTGGTTTCTAACACCGACTCGTTATCCCGGCAACCCCGCAACCTGAGCCGCCGCAAGACAGTAACCGGGGTACCTGATGATGTCAGCAGGAAACGTGGTATAAGCTCTGCCCATTCATTACCAATTAGCTGTTTTCTATTTCACACCATCTCCACGTCTCTTCCTTTATGTACTCTGTTCTTATCTTCTGTCTTTCCAGACTCTCCTTCGGTTTCTTCCATTCTTCCCGGTCAGTTCTCCACCGCTGGTCGAACTGCCTCATCCTCCTGCAACTCCACCCACCAACAGGAGAACAAAGGGGAGGAGGTGGAGAGGGGAGAGGTCAGAGAGGAGGGGCAGGTCCCAGCAAGGAGGATCCGAGCCCCAAGAGGAAGGGGGATGTCCAGCCTCATGGCCTCTCTTACCTCCTCCCCACCCGTCGACTACTCTTCATCCTCCTCAGACGTCCACAGCCTCCCCCGCATGGCAACCAACTCCTCCCTGAACTCTGAGGCCAGCTGTAGCAGTGCCTCCTACAGGACACTCAGTGCCTCCTCCTCTTGTTGCCAGGTAGGAGAAACTGTGGTCAAAAGTAAGCCAGTAACTACAAAAAAGAATTCGATTGTTACGATTTTTTCTTTTTTCTTCTCCAGTCGCAGGATCTACAGGGTTTCCCCAGCGCCCTCCAGCCCCTGCTGCCCTTTGACCCCACTGCCAGAGTCATCCCCCAGTCTCCCTCCTCCTCCTCCTCCTCTTCTTTACCTTCCTCCCCGGTCACCTCCTCCCTCCCCAGTACCCCCAGCCATGCCCTGCAACCAGAGTGGTCTTACCCTAGCGATAAGTCTCTGAATGAGGCTGCCCAACATCGCAGTTCCCTGTCCTCCTCCCACTACCTCTCTTCCTCTTCCATTGCGGAGTCTGAGTCAGAGTTTGGCTGCCAGGCTCTGGATGACCAGACTCCCACCCAGCAAGAGACGTGGAACTACCAGCCCCTGTCTCCCAGCTCCAGCATCCACAGCAGCCAGACCGGGAGTGACTGGACAGGCATTACCCAGGAAATGAGATGTGTTTCTGGGGAAGGTTGGAGCTGCGATCCCCTGCTTTCCTCTGGTCGCTCCACCCCCTCTCATGCTGACTGCAACTCTTTGTGTTCAGAGAAAAGGCCCACCTCTCCCTTGCTAAATCGGGAGAAAAGAAAGCACAGCACTTCCTCTTCATACTCGTGCAGCAGCACACGCAGCTTCTCCCTCCGCAAGTCCAAGCGCCCGCCTCCTCCGCCATTGCGCTCTGACTCTCTGAGGCGCCGCCCGGGTCGTAGCAAACCCTCCCGCTCCTCCTCTAGTCCCCATCCGGTGCGGAGCCCCCACCTGGAGCACACCACCCATCAGACCCCTGCATCATCCCCACAGACCTTTGATGACCCCTGGGTACCCCGAAGCAACACCAAAAGACGCCAGAGTGGGTTTAACTGTGGGACAGTAACAACCTTTGAACCTCTAATCCCTGACTGCCAGGCGGCTACCTCCACTGATGATCCTACTACTGAACAGCTACTGCCGAGCCCTGGGCACCCACATGCCCACGTCTTCACTCCTGAGTCTCCAGGCTCAGAGGAGGAGGGGCTAAGACTTACTCTCAACCCCCAACCAGCTGCTGTGGCCGGGCTTCAGCGCCTTGCTTCACCATCCAGTGGCTACTCCAGCCAGTCCAACACCCCTATACCTGGCACTCCTGTGTCCTCCCCCCTCTCCCCCTCCTCGCCTCTCGCAGCAAGCCCTGGAGCCTTCTCCCTCCCCCCGACCTCCCCCTTCTCCTCTTTACACTCATCTTCCTTCCCCCTTTGCCCTGCCGTCTCCTCCGTGCCCAGGGTGATGTCTCGGGCCGAAGGGAAGCCGAAGCCACCGGTGCCAGAGAGGAAGTCGTCACTCTTCTCATCCCTGTCCTCCTCATTTTCCTCCACCTCCTCCCTCTCCTCTTGCACCTCCTCAGACTCCTCTGCCAAGCATCCTCTTCTCCCCGCCCCACCTCCTCCTCCTCCTCTACCAGAGTCTTCCTCTCCTTCGCCTCCTGTCTTCTACTCCCCCTTTCCCGAGTCCCTTCCTCCACCTCCTCCTCTTCCTCAGCCCTGCCAGCCTGCTCCTTCCTTCACCAAACTCTCTGCTGCTCCTCCTCCTCCACCATCATCCCTTCCTCCTCCACCTCCCCCACCTCCTCCCCCTCCTCCTCTTCCACCCTCATCCCTCCCTAGTCCTCCTCCTCTACCTCCTTCCTCACGGCCTCCTCCTCCCCCCTACTCGTACACTGTCAGACAGGCCTCCCACGGTCTTGTGTCCACCACGTCATCATCAACCAACTTCCCTCCTCCACCAACCTCTCCCCCTCTGCCCGCATCTTCTCCTCTCCCTCCCTTGTCAGAACTCTCAGAATTGCCAATTGCTGATCTTCCTCCACCACCACCACCTCCTCCTCCTCTCCCCGCATCCCCTGCCACCCCGCTTTCCTCACCAGGGCTTGGGAAGTCCCCAAACCTCTATGTTAAAGTGGCCACGACCCCCTGCCCTCTGGTCACTGCCAAAGCTTTGCAGGGTGTCAAACTCCGCTCCATCAAGAACGAAAAAGGTCTCACTAGCATCATGCTAACTGATGCTGCATCTGCTGATGCTACACCACATAACCAAGCTGACACATTGTCAGCTGATGCTAATCATGCTAATACTCTCCCTGATCTACCAAACAAAGAAGTTCCTCTAGGCAGTGCTGCGCTGGCTAATGCTAATCTTGATAGCCAGGCTAGCACTGAAGATACACTAGTTGGAGCTGGATCACAAAATGCTGCCTGTCATCTCTGGAGCAATGAACCCAACATAACTTTAACAGGTAATGCTAACATCAATTGCCCTGCCAATGGTTTTGCAAAGCGACCTGGATGCAAATCTGATCACGATAACCACAACCTTACAAAACGTGATGTGGGGACATCCAAAGAAGAGTCATCTTATACTAATCTACTGAGCCGAGGAGGCATTGCCGCTAGCCCAGCTAACCAAAGATGCTCTGGGCCGAAGGTAACCAACGGGGAAACTCCTCAAGACATCCAGTACAATGAACAGGAGAAGGAAGACTCAGTCCCCAGCTCAGATAGTCCCTGGGTCAAAATGTCTTGTGGTGCTGACATAAACCACAAAAACACAATTATTCAACATCCGTTTTTGCACCAACCGGTCACGGATATAACAGTGCCAGACACTAAGCTAACTGTAGAGAAACAGGGAAACACAGACTCTTCGTACTGGACGCTCTCTGGATCAAAACAAGAGTCTCACAGAGAAGGCAGAACAACACTGTCAGAGAGCAGAGGTGAGATAGAGACACATGATAAGAATAATTCAGAAATATGGAACGGTGCAGCTGATGAGGTTTCAGCAGCATATAGGGATCTTAAACAGAGTAATAGGATCTGTCAGCCAGGAAGCCCAAGGAAACTCCGCTCCCCAGAGAAGCCGACCCTGCCAAAGAAGCCCAATCTTTGCATTTTGGGTCTCATGCCATCCCCTGAGGCCACACAAGGACCAGGTGGGTGGAAGAGCGGTGGACAAATCACAGCACCTTCTCCTGGGCTCAACAGCCAATCACAGCTTCCCGCTGATTCCTTATGCACACCATTGCACAGACACCTGACCCCGAGTTCACCTTCACAAAAGCACCTGACTTGTACCGCTGTTGACAAAATGATTACTCCTGACAAATCAATAATGCAAACTTTACCATCAACTGATGACACTGCCTCACCTGTAAACACAACACCTGCCAACGTCACCGCACACTCACCTGCCAGCTCCCCTCAGAGGCAGAAGCCACCAATTTTGCACAAGAAGCCGGATGTCTCATCGACTTCACCCAAAACAAACAAACCACTCACTGCAGCTAAAGATAAAGGGGAGGCATCACGAGGCACCACCGGGACCAGAAGCACCTTAGGGACCGTCTGCGCCACGGGGATCATGGCTACCACAAGGGCTAGGAACACTTTAAATGGGACCATGGAGAACTGTGGTACCTCAGGAACTTGGGGAACTTCTGAGACCTGTAGCATCTACAGGAACTCATGGGTGTATGGAGCTACCTCCACCCAGAATGGTAGCACCCAAACTGGGGCAACAGACCCCTGGATCATCAAGACAAGACTTCATAAGGACAATGAGAGAATGTTTCATACGAGCATTATGAGATCATCGCTGGCTGAAGATGAAGAGGAAGAGGAGCAGGAGAGGGTGGAAGAGAGGGAGATGAAGACAACAGGGATGATGATGACGTCTTCCACCGCAAGGAAAAAGGACAAAGCAAGAAAGAGGAGGAAGAGGAGGGCAGGCAGGAAGCTGCTAATGATGTCATCAGCAATGGAACCCTCCCCCTCTTCATCGTCATCATCATCATCCTTGTCATCTTCATCCTCATCTGGAGATGAACGAGATGTGGTGAAAGAGAGAACGATGCCAACAAGTCAGAGGAGGAGGACAAAGACAGTATGCAATCAAGACACCAGTGACTCCGAGAGCTCCTGCACTCTGATTGGTCAAAGCAGGTGCTCCCTCAGCAGTGCGCTGTCCACCGACAGCTTGCAGGGGGAGCTGTTGCTTCCAGACCTCCTGATACAGGAGGATGAAGAGGAAAAGAGGAGCAAGGAGGGAGCAGACAGTAGGAGGGAGGTGGTGAAGGAGGCCCGAGGACCTCCAGATGGTGAGTTGGGTTTACTGGAGTTGCACTTTGGCTTGAAACTACTAGATTGTTCCTTGTTATAGTGCAGATGCATCAAATCGACCACAAAGAACTAGTGGTGACAAAGGCCGACTGTTGCATTGCCTCAAGTCGCCTGTGTCTAGGCCAAAAAGTTACACTTGAACACACCGCAAAGACTACAGTCAGCAATTAACTAATATGTACGTTCTGCACCTGTCAAAGCCAGTTCAAAACTACTCATATCACCCAGAAACCTATGGTCCTGGTAACCATGTGGATTCCACTTGACACGCTTCCCCCAAACACTGTTGCAGACCAAGGACACCTCTTCATGGCACAAGCACTCCCCAGTGGCACAAAACTGTTCAGGAATGGCACAATGAACGTGACAAATGTTCGAGGCATCACCCTGGCCTCCAAATTCCCCGGATCCCAATCAGATTGAGGATCTGTGGGTTGTGCTGGTACCCTAGAGGTACCCCAATCCACGGTGGGGCCTCCTTGGATCGGGCTTGGCTCTGACTTGTCAAGGCATGGACACAGGACCTCTGGGAGTGTCTGGCATCAGGGGGTTGGTGGCAGATCCTTTGAGTGCTGTTGGTTGTGAGGTGGCATACCAGCACGTCCCACAGATGCTTGATCAGATTGGAATCTGGGGAATTTGGAGACCAGGTTGACACCTTGAGCTCTTGTGTTCATTGAGCCATTCCTGCATTGTGGCATGGTGCATTGTCCTGCTAGGGGAACACTGCCTTCGTCATGAGGAGATGTCTTTGGCCTGTAACAGTGTTTGGGTGGGTGGTGCATATCAGGTGGCATCCACATGAACCTCAGGACCAAATGCTTCCCAGAGGAACATTTCATCACACGTTATTCACTCAGTGGTTTTAATGTTTTGCCTGATCGGTGTGCAGCTGCTAGATTTGACAGGAATTTGACGTTGCAGACTTGGTTAATTCAGGCTCAGAATATGTTCCACTTGGAGCTTGGGCTTCTGTTGGTACTTGGAATCAGACGCAGTACTTGTGTACCACGCTGAAATGGGGAGAACATGTTGGAGCACCTGGAGGAAACCAATCCTGACATGGGGAGAAAATGCAAACTCAATGCACAGATGGGCTCCTACTGTTGTGTCTAATACTTTGTTTCTCTGTCCAGCCGATGTGTTCGTCAGTGTTTCGGCAGATCAGATGTTTGTCTCCGGTCGACCACGGACGACAGAGGATCTGTTTGCTGTCATCCACAGGTAGGGAAACTCACTAACACACAATGCACACTGTTACTGGACAAATCTCATGTGTCTGCCTGCTTTCTCCCTCCGCCTCTGTGGAGCAGTGCAGTATGGGAAGGCACAGCATGAATGCCATGGCAGGCAGGTAAAGATCACTGAATGTGTGGTAGATGGAGTTAAGTTCTTGACCCTGGGTGGCTGTAACCAGATAAATAATTGGTTTTCCCTTTCCTTTCCTTTTCCCCTGTTCCCTCTGATAGGAAGCGTAGTTATGTCTTGTACCTGAAAGGAAGCATTCTGTCCATTTGTCTTTGTTGCCCAAATAGTAACCTCCTTCCTTGCTCCCCACCTTTTACACCGCCTGTTCAAGGAGGGAATGTTATGCCGTTTTTCCATCTCACCGTTCATTATAAAAGGTATAATGGCAGAACTCGGGAACAGAGTTGTCTCACCGTTAAACCGATGGTGGAGCTAGAAACAGCAGCGAGTCCACATCTGTGTGGAAGGGACAGACTGCAGGACAGGAGGGAAGTGATGTTTTGATGAGGTATTATATGTGCAACCAACCACTAGGAAGGCAGCAGTTAGCAGCTAACTCAGAGGAAGAACAGCAGCTGTTAGTAGTTATCAGCCAACTCAGAGAAATAGAAGAGCAGCTGTTAGCAGTTAGCAGCCAACTCAAAGAAGAAGAGCAGCAGCCGTTAGCAGTTAGCGGCTTACTCAAAGCACAACAACAGCAGCTGTTACCAGTTAGCAGCCAACTCAAAGAAGAACTGCAGCTCTCCAAAAAACAGTCCTACTGCAGGCCTTTTTGTTAGTATTGTTACACACCTACATCTCCTAGAACAGATGACCCACTCCATACGACTCCAAAAAGAACTGGGAAAAAAAACGGTGGGAAAAATGGTGTATTTATTTAGCCAATGAGACCAATACTTAATAACGACTCTTCTCTGTGTGACATTACATTGTAAAGATGCTAATATTTGCATTGAGTCGCTATTCATCCCATGACGTCATATGTTCGTTTTGTATTGTGTTTTGTTTATTCCTGACATTATAAAAAATACTCATAAATAAAAAGTTAAAAAAAAGAAGAACAGCAGCTGTTAGCAGTTAGCAGCCAACTCAAAGAAGAACAGCAGCCGTTAGTAGTTAGCAACCAACTCAGAGAAGAAGAACAGCGCCTGTAAGCAGTTAGCAGCTAATTCAAAGAAAAAGAACAGCAGCTGTTAGCAGTTGGCTTCGTTACATCAGCCACCATGTAAAAGGGACGCTAAATGTTTGTCATCGTCGTGTTATGTCACTGTTTAAGTTACGCTAAAACGTCATGTCTGTCGTGCCTCTTTTACTTTTGGGGTGCCGACATGCTTTCTGAAATCACACTCTGTCTTTTGATTCTGTTTTACAAAGTCACGGCGGCGTGAAGAGACTTCGTAGCAGCCCTGTCGGCTCCAGTTGCTCCCATATGTCTTGTCCCCTGACTCGGGTGCTTGTTTACTTTCTAACAGGGAACTTTTTTGTTTCCTGTGCCCCAAATTTGGAATTTCCTCACAAGTCCGTCCCTGCGTTCACTCGAATCACGACTTTTTATTTTGACTTTTGTTTTGTCACTCAGGACTGTTGATCTTTCTGTGTTTGTCTCAGGTCTAAGAGGAAGATGCTTGGAAGAAGGGATGCAGAAGATGGTAGGCTCCGTATCTCGTCTTCTTCCTCCTCTTCTGCTTCTCCTTCGGACACACCCTCTGTCCCTCTGGCCCGTCTTACCCGACCTGCAGCACTCAGAGATCAAAGGTCAGCGAGAAGTGAAAGCTTTAAGGCCCTGCTGCTGAGGAAGGGTAGTCGGTCTGATTCATCGTCTCGAATCTCGGCTGTCGAACGGCTTGGCATACTTGCTGCACCTGCTGCCATTGGTGACCTTCAGAGTGTGCCGCCACTGCCACTGCCACCGCCACCGCCACCAGACCTCCCGCAAGACAAACATATGAGCGTGTCCCGTACCTCAGATACATGTGACACTAATACCCACCTCACTCTGGACGCACCTTTGTCCACAACGTCTCTGTGCAATCAGAGCTTCTCCATGATCGGATTCGGATGGGGGCAAAGGGATCTGAGCTACAATGACCTAATCCTCTCCTCCTCCTCCTCCTCCTCCTCTCACTTTCTCTTCCTCTCCTCCTCCTCCTTGCGGCCTCGCTCCCTCACTCCCCCTTGCTCATCCAGTCGGCGTTTTGCAGCTCGCTGCCGCCTCTACGCCGCCCCTATGACCGCCATCTTTGAAGGGGACAGTGAGGAGGAAGAAGAGGACGACGACGAGGTTTTCATGAAGTCTCCAGGAACCGAAGGAGAATCAAGCCAGAGGTTGGTCGAGACTTCCTGATGGACAGGCAACATTTAGAAACGCAGCTGCGATGTGGATCCGACAGGAAGTCCATGGAGCATACCTGCGTGATGCACCTTCCCCAGAAAGTCCTTCCTGAACGTGACAAGGTCTGGGTCTTCATCTGATCCCAATCAGGTTCACAAGCATGTTGCGCTGAACTCAGCTGACCTCCACCGGACTGACTTACAGCCTGAAGCATCTTACTGAATGTACCGAAGCACACTCAGCGACTCTCGGACTTGTCACTAGCAGCCACACTGACATGTCAGAAAACTACAGAAGCCTGGAAAGGACACTCTTGTGGTTACTCAAGTTGTTTCCTTATGATTGTGGAACCATGATCTCAAGAAAACAAATAATTTTCTTGTTAACTTTACCCCCAGCACCTCGAGTTTATACACTTTAATTTAAACTATGGTTATTATCCTGCTTTTTTGTATTTTGCTTGATTTACTTTTTTGTTTTCCTACTCGCACAGACGCTGAACTCACTTTCTTATTTTGTTTGTTACTCAGTTTGTTTTACTATCTCGCACCAGTGAGAAATCTAAATTATCCATCCTCGGTCCAGTGAACAGATTTCCGTCTGACCAAAGAGGACGTGGAATTATGTCAGATCTGGACATAAGAAGCATTTTCTTGAGATCACAGAGTGAATGTTACAATAATTATAATATTGTACAATAATAACAATGTGTAGGCATTTATATTGTAAAGGTTTCCATGACGTCATAAAGAAACTTAAGATTCTTCAGATCCGACATTTAACAGATTATAATGAGGTAAATTCAGCAGTTTAAAGGTAGAGTCTCTGATTCTATTAATAATACCACTCAAATCCCAAACTAACACACGCGCTCCTTCAAAAGCTCCACCCCACTAATTCATGGACACACATTGCCAAGGTCATGACAGTTAGGTTTAGGCAACAGAACTACTTAATTAGGAAAAAATCGCAGATGTCACTAAAAAGAAAAAGAGGCTTTGAGCAGCTTGAACGCGGCTGGAAAGGCCGCGGTGTGTCGTTACAAAATATCCGGCTTAAGGTTTGTTGCTACAAAACACTTGTCTTTAGGTGATTCAAATGTGGCTTGAAATGCAGCGATGTGTTGCTACAAAACACCCAACTTTTAGGTGTGTTGCCACAAAACTCAACTTTTCAACAGCTACAAAACAAGCGATTGTTTTGTGGCTACACAACGCTACCGATCAAGCCACGTTAGCTTGAGTGGTTGCAGTGTGTAGCTACAAAACAATAGGTTTGAGTAACTTAAACACAGCTCAATGGTGGTATGTCGCTACAAAACACCCAGCTTTGAGCTGTGATGCTACAAAACACCCGGGTTTGAGGTGGGTCGCTATAAAACACTGGGCTCCAAGACAAATTTCTCTAAGGAGACCAATAAATGAACTGAACTGAACTGAACTGAAATTACTTAAATGCAATGGTAAACGGCTGTGCTGTCTAACTACAAAAGAATCGACCTGAGGAGCTCAAATGCAGCTGAAAATGCGGTGGTATGTTATTACAAAACACCTGGCTTTGACGTGTGTTGCTATAAAACACCCAGCTTTTAGGTTTGTTGCTACAAAACACTCAACTTTGAGTGGCTTAAACGTGGCTTGAATGGCTGCAGTGTGTAGCTACAAAACAATTGTCTTGAGTAGCTCAAATGCAGCTGAAAAGGCAGTGGTATGTCGCTACAAAACACCTGGCTTTGAGCTGTGTTGCTATAAAACACCTGACTTTGAGGTGGGTCACTACAAATCACCCGGGTTTGTAGTATGTTGCTATAAAACACTCAGCTTTGAGGTATGTTGCTATAAAACACCCGGTTTTGAGTGGCATGAATGTAATTTGACAGTGTGTTGGACCAGAATCATAAACTCCACCTTTAATTTAGCGCAAAGTTCTAATCATCCGATCCTGATTTGGGACGTTTCGATCAGTCTGTCGTGACATCACATCCGGACACAAACACATCCTGGCTGCATAATTTCCAAACAAACTCAAACAAACTGGATGTTTTTGTTTATTCTGATTATTTCAAACATTTTTGACGTCATGCTAAGCTTCTCCTCGTCTGTTTGACTTTACATTTTTATATATTGTTACCAGCTGTAAGCTGAGACACTCATGACTGAGGGATGTAGTTTGTCCTGAACTGTAAATAACTCGTCTGTTTCTCTCATGTTGCTTCTTCTACTTCTTTTACTGCTGCTGGATCTTCACTTATCATAGCATCTTCTTCGGTAATGAGTCAGTTTCAAGCCTCAAATCAGATTAATTTTATAAACAGGAGTAGCAGATAGTGAGAAGACGTAGTGGTCAGAAAGATGATGTAACTTTTTAAGGTGGAGGCTTTGAATTTAGGAACATGATTATTGTGTATGTGAATGTCAGAGGTTCAGATTTACTCTATTAACAGTGACATTAATAAAGTTTAACGAGAACGATGGAAAGAGAACATGAGAGAAGAACAGTGACTGAAAACTGTTTGTTGGAGGTTTAAAGGTGGAGATCATGAAACAGGAAACGTAAATGTAAATAAAGAAAAGTGGAAGCAATAAAGGACGAACGAAATTCTGAAACTACGATTTGTTTGACTTATTTTTTATTATTGTACACAAAAATAACTAGAAAAGCACTCAGAGAGTGCAGACCTCCGCCAAGTAGGTAACCGCTAATGTTTGTCAATCGCTAACGTTATGTGCATGACCAAAACATCAAGTTGGGAGGCAGTTTTAATCAAAAGCAGCGTCTTGTACATACCGTGTCATTGAGTCAGGAAAACCCCCATTCAGTCAGACGATAGACTTTATGTATTCCTGACGAGCCCAAGTAGGCCTACTCGCCACTGCCAATCGGTGGCGCACGTCTGGTCATGGAATGAGTCTATTCTAAAACTCTGTGCTATTTTGAGCTATTTTATTAATTTAATCCCGATCACCACCAAACTTGTATCATCTGTCCCTTGTCCCATTATCCACCTTTCCTAAAAATTTCATCAAAATCCGTTCATAACTTTTTGAGTTATTTTGCAGACAAACAGACCAACACCGGTGAAAACATACCCTCCTTGGCGGAGGTAATAAACTTATCAGCTGTTCTCCATCAGCTGTGGAGAATCTAGTATAGAAACATGCTGTGAATCCTAAAGATGATATGATGAACATGATGTTCTATCAGGGTGCAGTTTGTGTCTCCGACCACAGGGTGGTGCTGTGGATCAGGTCTTTCTGTCCTCATAGTTCACTACGTCCTCTCAGCCTGTTCACAGCAGCTCTGCATCCACAGTTTGAAATGGTTCTTGAGGAGAACGTCATTCATCATGAAGCTGTTGATCCGTCTGTTGGCTGCAGATGAAATTACAACCTTTAATATTTTTATTATTATCAGCCACATTTTTGTAAACAGATTAAAACTTTATTTATAAACATCAGACCAACAGTCAACGATATTGAACATTGTATTTACACAGAAAATTAAGAACTGTGTGTTTGTGTCAGAACGAAGAGACAATCAGCTCTTTGGTTCTCATCAGCCTTCACCTATGTTACTTTACGTTAAATACAAACCACAAATCTTCATGTAAACTTTCAGAACGTTACTATAAATATGTAACTTTACATAAAGTTCGTAACTTGATCACACCCAACTAGCCTTAGGAACTTTGCGATAAGTACGTAACATGAAGATGCCCGACCGTATTTCTTTTCTTAAAGCTAATCTACATAACGTGCAATTCTTTCCCAAAGCTAACCAACATAAATTTACATAAAGTACATAAAACATATCTTGATGACGCCCAACCATAATTCTTTTCCTAAACCAAACCTACGTAAATTTACTTTCCTAAATCCAGGCAACGTAACTTTACTTGCCTGAACCTAACCTATGTAACTTTACGTTAAGTACACAAAGTGATGAAGCCCTATCCTTTTTTGTCATGTTACATACTTAACATAAAGTTACGTACATAATTTTATGTTACAGTGCCAAACCATGTTTCTTTCTGTTGTCAGGTTACTTACTTAACGTAAATAACTTTATTTTGAGAATGTAACATGAAGATGCTCAACCATGTTTTTTCCCTTAACGTAATCTTCATAAATTTACTTTCTTAAACCTAACCTACCTAACTTTACATTAAGTTTATAGCATGACGACCCCCAGCTTAATTTTTTCTAACCCTGACCTAACCTACGTAACTTTAGGTGAAGTACGTAAATTTACGTTAGGTTTGTAACATGACAACGTAGTTTGTGTGGCGCTAATCCTTTAAGTATTTTTAAAAAGCCCTGTATAAGGCTACGTTGTTTGAGGAGATTCCAGACGTTCTTAATAAGGGTTCTTTCAGGGGCACCTGATGTGGTTTAAGAGGTTATTTCGGGTGTCTCAAAGGTTCCTGGGGAGGTTGCAGATGTTTTTGATGTTTCAGGAGTCTTTAGTGTCATTGCGGTGGTTCTGAGAGTGTCTCAGAATCTCCTGATGATATTTTAAAGGACTGATTATGAAGTGTCAGAGGTCCTTGAAGAAATCTGATAGGTTCTTTGGATGTTCCAAATGTTCTTGATCAGACTCTTAAGGAGAATTTTCAGGGGCCTTTGAGGGGGTTTAAAGGATGGCATTTGAATTAACATGAAGGAGATTCCAGAGGTCCTTATCTGACTTCCTGCGCCGCCGGTTGCGTACTCTCCAAACCGTTTTTAGAAATCAGGCAGTCCACCAGTCAAATTAGTTGTGCATTTTTTCCAGTGGATTTATCGTTCATGAACTCCTGTAAAATCTGTTGTCACGCAGTCCCAACGGAGATCTGCGAGAACAGATCCACGGTTTGTTCCTCAGAGCACCCGCAGCTGTTTATGTCGAGCAGACAAAAATATGCATTGTCAGAATGATACAGCAGAGTGTGTCCCGGAGGAACGGGAACATATCAAGTGGTTATTGTTATCATTAACATTTTTTGCTTCCAAATTCAGAAAGGCGAGACACGAGACGTTTTATTTATGAGCATGATGGAGGTCTAAATCCAGGACACGAGTGGCTGCCGGGCGAAGAGAGAACCGGGGCAGCACAGCGACCCAAGACAGAGGGACACGGGGAGTTAATCCTGGAGACAGATTTAGAGCCATAATGGTTCTGACTCGCTGCGTTCAGACGTCTCCAGAGTCTCCGAGAACACATAGTTTTCCCACGACCCCATCTGACCTTTGACCCCTGTGTGTGTTTAATTTGTGTCATTAGACGTTTTGATTGTCTGAACGTTGATCCAGTAACAGCAGCGGATTGTGTTTGTCTTCGTTTGTTGCTCTGAGGATGTGAAACATGATTTTCGCACATCATCCTATGACAGATCACACCTTTCACAGCTGCACACACCTGGTGTTGTTGTTGGCCGTGCAGTTCATCACGTGTGGTTAAAGAATGTGTGTGTGTGTGTGTGTGTGTGTGTGTGTGTGTGTGTGTGTGATGCCAGCAGTAAGAGAACCTGGCAGAACGGAACGCTCTCACCAACTGTGTGTTTAGATTTTCTTCCATCTCTCATCACAGTCAAACATGTTTGCATCTGGTTTGTTCTGTTAAGTAAATAAGTAAGTAACATTTATTTACGTGATGCTTCTCGCAGACACAAAGTGTTTCACAACATAAAGACAAAGTGAGTACGACTATTTGCACACAAGAGAAAAGAAGACAGATAAGAACCTCTGGAATCTCCTTCACATTAATTTAAATGCCATCCTTTAAACCTCCTTTAGAAGCCCCTTAAATTTCTCCTTAAGAATCTGATCAAGAACCTTTGGAACATCCAAAGAACCAAAGAATCCATCCAAAAGAACATTATCAGGAGATTCTCAGATTCGGTTTAAGAGGTTCTTTGGGTTCCCCCAAAGTCCCCCCCCCCCCAACCCTTAATAATTCCCGGAACCTCCTCAAACAACGTAGTCTCATACAACGCTTTGTAAAATATTGAAGGATTAGCGCTACACAAACGGAGCCACATTACAGCAGTTAATGCGAGATGAGACAAAGGCAGGTGGAAAAAATTCCAGTTCAGCAGTTGAAACAACAGATCTCAGTTTACTCAAATGGATAAAACAAGATTTGGTCAGGTGCTTCAAGGGGTGTCGAATGATGTTGACTGATCAAATTTTACCCCCAAATTACGCAGATTAGCATGAACAGCAGAGGAAAGAGGCCCAATACTTTGCGTAATGAGGGGGACCAACAACCAGAATCTCCGTCTTATCAGCTGTGAAAAATTCTCAGCGATCCAGACCCTGATCTCATGAAGGCAGTCTTCCTGTTTCCTGTTTCTGTCTTTGTTTAACTCTGTGTTGTTTAAGGCCTCACTTACCTTCAAACAGACAGGCTCGTAGGTTTTGATAAAAGCGACAGGAGAAGAAATCAAACCACAAACCTGGCGATCTCCAGTTGCCAGGAGAAGATGTTGGCATTGTGCATTTCTGCAAACCACAAATACATCTGCACGTTTCATACAAATCACAGTAACATTTCTAAAGTGACGTAGTCTCTGATCTGACTCTGTCATCAGGAGGTGGAGGGGTGGTGTACGGTGTGACTCCCCGGGGAGATGCCAGCCAAGTTGCAGACCACCGTTCAACACCATCAGGGAGTCAGTGCTGTTTGTACCGTCGCTGTTTCTCCAGCAGGGATAGTGCCACGAAAAGCAGTTGTTTTTAAATGTCAGTTTTTTCAGCTACATGGTAACGTACAAATGTACAAAGGGGGCTGAGTTAAGTCTTCTGAGATAGTTTCAGAGGTTCTTGCCTTCCAGCAGTGTTCTCGGCTCTAAATCAACATTTCACTGAGTTTTCAGGTTTCGGGGGGACCTTAAAGTGTGTTCCAGGGATCCTTGGGGAGGGTCCTGGAGGAGGGTCCCTCAGGAGGTTAAAATAAGGTTTAAAATGTGCTCCAGAGGTTCTTGGAGACGTTCCAGAGCTGTGCGTGTAGTCAGTGCCACAGTGCTGAGGTACAGGCCTGGATATGTACAAAGTGGAGTTAATGGCCGTGAGAAAACTTTGTCGGCACTGCCGTGACCTGCATGAATAAACAGCCTGCACTCTGAGATCCAGGCCGTCATTCCTCCGCTTAAACCCTGAATAAATACAGGTTTAACAAACAGGAGCACACACACACACACACTCACACACGTACAGTATAGACTGTGAACCACACACACATCAGTACCCACATACTTTCCTGATAAAACCTGATTCCTGGTAAATCACTGCTCACACACAGACACACACATGTTCAGAACAGATGAACAAATAAAGGTGGAACCCTGAGAACAAGAAGAGTGTGATCACTCTGTCCTCAGTCCTTATTACCCAGCGTTCCAGTGTCCACTTGTCTCTTGTTCTCTTGTCTACCTTTCGTGTGTTGAATATTTCATGTTTGTCTCTGTTCATATTAAGTTCCTCCTCAAAGACCTCTGGAACCTCCAACGGAGTCCGACACAGACCCTCAATCACCACGAGAGTCCGAAACTCTCCTATTGACCTCTGGAACGTCTTCAAGGTTTCTCTGGATGAAGAGACGAAGCCCAGCCCCTGAAATCTGCAAAGCAATCCCTGAAGTACCCGTCAGGAACATCCAACATTGGACCTCGAGAACCTTCTGTACAACCACTGGAACCCGAGCGAAAGAACGCCTCAAACAACTCTTTAAGGAACCCCCTCAAGAACCCTCATACGAATCAGCTCTGGTTCTTCAACCGGTTCTGTTCAGGTGCTTTTGAGCAAAGCAGCCCGAGTTCCAGTTTTGAATCATTGTGATTGATGACGTGTCATTAACGGAGGGCGTTGGACGATACACAGCACGGGTGAACAGGAGCAAGACGGTGAGTCATTGATTACCTGCGAACTTTTGTTCAATTATTATGGATATTTGTTTGAAATGACAACCGACCAGCTAATAACGACAAGAAGACGTAGAACACTGATACCGAAGAGAGTCTATCGTCTCTTTCCAGCATGTAGAGTACGACATGCCCACCAATGTTGGCACGGTTTTGTAGTTCAGGTCGAGGAAATCCCGGTATTTTTTGGGGACGGTCACTCGCGTGCAGTCGGTCATGTGTGACTGCTCGAATACCGCCACTTGGTCTTATGTACCCGCATACAGAGGCACCTTCAGCAGCACTATGTTACGCAGCGGGCGGCGGCAGTTTGTAACCCGAGAGTCCGTATTGGACGGAAGGGCGGACGAGTTGGCCAGATGGCACCTGTCAAAGTGGTATGATACACTGCCAGTTGGTGGCGTATACTGTAATGGAGTACTAGTACTGTCAGTACTTTTACCTGTAGTGGATTACTGTAGTAGATTACTCTGACAGAGTAGTGTCAGTACTTTTACCTGTAGTGGATTACTCTGACAGACACAGAGGGAGAGTTGCACCGCTGATCCTTCAAACTGTCTTTAAACGTCTCCGCGTGCATGTCGGCCCTCCGCTCGCACGTACACGCGCGCCTCTCTCCTCCTCCTCCTCCTCCTCTACTTGTATTTCCGTGATCATGTTGAGTCGCGCATGTGGACAGAGGAAGAGACGGAATAGGACGGAGGAGGAGAAGGAGCGCGCGTTGCACACACACACACACACCTGATCAACAGAGGACAGCTACAGGTTGTCTCGCGCCACACGCGGGTTTAAGTGGACACCTGGGGACAGGACAGGACAGGACAGGACGGGACGGGACGGGACGTGCAGTCTTCCCTTCGGTCTGCAGAGCACAGACATGACCCGAGCTCTCTGACAGCTGCTGCTGGAAGGCCCGGCTGATGATGATGATGATGAAGGTGATGATGATGGTGGTGATGATGATGATGAAGGGGCTTCTCCCGCTCCACGCGCTCCACCAGCCGGTCTGATAGTAAGATGCCACCGGGCCCCGGAGCTCGGCACGCGGCTCGGATCGAGAACAACCCGGGATAATAAAACAAGAGGAAACTCAGCAGCCACTGAACAGCAGAGACCCAGAACCCGGACCGGGACCAGCCGGGAGGGAGAGCGCGGGATCAGGGAGCTCTGCGCCGGGAGCAGAGGTGCACCGAGCCGCGTCAGGAGCCAGACAGGTAAAGTGACAGGAACACCTTCATGGTTCAATATCACATGAGCGAGAGACAGATTCGGGTCTGACTTCAGGAACCGGATTTAACTTTAAATCATAAAGTAACATCATCATAACACCGGTGCCGCTGATATGGAGACAGATTGGTGTCGAGATTATTTATACCAACAGACTGAAAATCCGTCTGTTAATTTGAGTTATAAATATAAAACATCTTTCACAAATAATTAAAAGATTTGTAAAATAAAAACACTGTCTAGTAACTATAAAACATCTGCACATACACAACTTAATTTTTCTTATATGTAAATACATTTAATTCCTTTACAACTGTTTTAAAAAAATGAATATCTTTTTTACATTTACGTCTGTCGGACAGATATTTGTTAATCAGATTTTTATTTATTAATCTGTGAATGTCTTTTTCATGAAATAATTTCAGAGAATTTCTAACTGAAGAAAAATGTTGTATTTGATGCGTAAGATATGGAAATAGATTTGTGCCAATGTTATTTAGACGAACCACGACAATCTGTGTGTACATTTAATCAGTAAATATAAAACTTCTTCCAGATAGAAAAATAGAAAAAAAATGAATAGCAAATATAAACAGACCTGCAAATACACGATTTATAGGATAAAAAAAATTAAAAAAGATCTGTGAATACATTTAACTAATTTACAAAGAATTTTTTTAAAAAAAATGAATATGTTTCTTACATTTACAACTTTCTGTTTATTGTCTTTCTCTGAATTGTTTGAATAATTTCTGAAAGGCCAGCTGGAGTACAGCCGACCGTCAACTGTCAGCTGGTGTTTCAACATTAAAACAACATTGAATCAATGTTGAATTCTGATGGTTATATAAAGGTAAAAAGAATTCTCATACATCACCATTGAAATTACAGAAAGATCTGTGTCAACGTTGAGACAACTTTGAAACAATGTTTAAAGTTTATGGATCAACATTGAAACAACACTGTGTGTTCAATGTTGATTCATCTTTACAACAAACATTTGCAGCTACAAACAGAAAAATAACAGCGTTTAAAGGTCAGACCATCTTTAACAAGACAAAATGAATTTTCTGCAGAGAATGTGTGTGAACGCTGACGGCTGGAATTAAAACAAAAACAATCTGACTCAGTGGTGTGAGAACCTGTCAGAACTGGAGGCTGAACTGTATCTCCTGAAGAAGCTCAGGGCTGAAATACACCAACTGATTGTTATCGTTCGTTATCGCACCAACAAATAGACCGTCAAAGTAAAAACTCGGTTACTAGATCTCATGAGAGGTCTGGAAAATGTGCCAGAAGTGACCTCATGCTAAGAGCTGTAATCAATCAGGCTGTGCTCCCTGTAGGTCAGCAGTGATGCTGCTCCCGCGCCTCCCGGTCCTGTCGGCGCTCCTGGTTCTGCTGCTGGCCGCTGGACGCTGCACCGCGGTAACTGTGCTCCGGGGCTCAGGTACCCGGGTGGAGGGGCGTCCAGACGGACGCAGCCTGCTGGAGCTGGTCGGCCGGTACCCGAAACCGAGGACCGAGACGGCAGTGGGACTCACCAGACATGGAATGAGAACCCCGGAGAGAGAAAGCAGGTCACACCAGGGACTGGGTCAGTATTATTACTACTGCTACTGC